TGCTTTTCTAAAGAGCTCTTCAGACCGTCATTGCCACTTGTTCTGCCAAATGTTGCTAAAAGCCTTTTCTTTTTAATATGTCCTTTGCTCTTTTTTCCTCTTCCTGAGACCCTTGCCTGCACTTCGATCAGTATTAACACTGCTCCAAATCCCAGTTTTGCCATGAGACTGGAGTGCAGATCAGCAAAGCATTTCTGATTACACATACATTTGTGTGCAATCCGAAATCCAAACTGCTGTCAAAACCAAAAGTTACTTTTGTTAATTCATTTGGTGGAAAACCTGACCTGAAGCAATGTAAGACTATTTGTAGTCTTTATTTATCTCTCTTTGAGGAGGTATTTACATGTTTTGCTGCAAAAATATCAATGTATTTGATAATGTGAAGTGTTGCTATAAATCCAGGTAGAGGTGATATGTTATGTGCATTCTGTTAGCTTCTCTAAATAGCAAAAAAGAATCTGAATTCTGAAATTTAGCTGGCCCCAAGACTTTTAGATAAGGGATTTAAGATCTCAGTTACTGTCTCACAGGAATTGAAAATATTTTACTAATCATAATTCTTTATTTAAGATACTTCTCTTTAGCACAAACTGAACACAGGTACAGAGGTAAATGAGGTCATCTTGAAATATAGCTTTGTCATGTCACTCCTCTTAAAGTGACTTCAAAAGTTTCTTGTTTTTGGTAGTTCTTATCCTGGAATTTCATACCTGCCATAGGGTGGTGTTTGCCTGATGATGTCCCCTCTGATTCCCTTTTGTGTTCTTTCTGCCTCAAAGTGTTTCTTTCAAAATCAGTTCTGTGTCTTAACTATGTTCTTTTATTCTGGAAAATCCTTTTCTCTTCCTTTTTGTCGGAATTCTTCAAGATAGATTTGAACTCCTATTTCTTGGAAGTTTTTTCCTGATTAGTTATAGGCCAGTGAAGGGCATATGTCTATCACTATAATGTAAATATACTTTATCTGCCCAACTAGATTGTAATGCCTTAGCTAGAAGAGGCCCTGTTATGTACTTATAAATATTCATCATAATGTCTTGCATGGTGATTTTTATTCATTAGATGTGTTTATTAATGTTGTTTGACTTTTGTGGGGGGTGGTGAGTAGAGGGAGGGGAGAGCAACAAAAGTATACTCCAATCTAATTGTTGTCAAACTGTTACTCCTTTTTGTTTAGTGTTTTAGTTACCATACTTCTAAGTAGCCTAAGCAGACAATAAAAATAAGGGCTAAAAATGGGAATACAGCTGCATCCCTTTAGTTTTCCATTAGTTGCCAGAATATAAAAGCTCAGTGTTGCTTTTATTTTTCAGTTTAACGATGTATGGTTGCTTTGATCTTTTATTTCCACATACTGTTTTAGACTTCTGTATTAATTTTTATTTTGAAGCACTACATTTTAATTAATTCTTTATAACCATTTAATAGAGTTATTTACTTCTAGGGACTAAAGCAATGTACTGAAATAATTTTAAAGGACAGAAACCAGCATTTGCTGAGCATCTACTACACATCTGATTCTGTGCTATATAGTGAATATTTCAGTTTTTACTCCTTAAATAATTCAGTAATGTAAGTGCTCTCTCCCTCTTTTGCATCTGAGAAATTGCCTAAGTGTACCCAGTAAGTGATGGAGTTTAAATTTGAAATGCAAATCTATCTAATTCTGCTAGAATACTGTTTGAAACGTGAGAGATTTTGAGAGAGCAGAAGATGAAGGGTAACTGCTGAATAAAAGATACTGAATGGGTAAACTAAAAGGATCTTTGAGATTGGGCTTTTGTTATCTTTCTCACCTTTTGTTAACTTTCAGTTTTTTGTTATCTTTTTATTCTTTTCCTACTATCCGAATTCTTACTGAATCAGTTATATTTTAAGTTGTTCATTTATCAAAATGAATAAACAAAAATGTTGCAGGATGATACAGCCAAAAGAGGAAAGAGTTGGTTGATCTTATAGTGTTTTGGAAATAGAAATTTAAGCTTTAAAAAGTAGTGTATGCTTTTAAATAAGCAAATACATTTTTATAGGCAGGCCAATATTTGGGTACAGTATGGTGAAATCAGTGTTAAATTATTAAATATAAGATAATGTGGAATAATTGATTTAAGATAATAGTAACACTAGGAGTAAAATCAAATCAGATATGTTTTAATATACTGTAAGTTATATATACCAGACCAGAATATTTAGCACTTTGTGTTAGATGCTGTCTTATGATGATCAACTCCCGCAATGGAGAACATAGGTTCACTTCCAAGGAGATGACATTTTAGATGAGGTAGCAGGACATTTTCCAGGAGATGTGCCTGAAAGTACTGCAACAGAAACTGATAAGACCTTAGACTAGAACTTTTCATATTTGTAATTTTTCTACTTTTGGTAATAATAGAAGCTGTAAGACTTTGGTGGACTCTTTTGAAGGGTGTTTTATAGACAGAGAACTCAGGAAGCTATGAAAAATATACAACCAGGTTTGAGAAAGGAAGAAAGAACCAGTAAAAAAGTAGTCCTGGCTACAGAAAAAGAAAGAAAATCATCTTGTGCGTGAAAACCCAGTGTATAGTTTTAGTGGGTGGTTAAAAGTATCAAGTGTTAAAAGGAGGTAAAAGAGCACAAGAACTGAGAAAAGCAAGAAGCTGGTCATTGACTTCTCAGTAGAGTGATTTCATTTGAGTCATAGATTAGAAGCCAATTGAAGGGAGGTAAGGGAATGAATGGTAAGAGGTGGTGGCAGTTCTTACAGATCACATTCAAAGATTATGGCAATAAAAACAGAATCATTCAGTTCTTAAACGTCTTTCTAAGATGGGGGAAATTCTGTTGTGTTAGAAGCAGAGAGGCAGGCAGGACCTAGGGAGAGAGAGAGAGAAATTGAAGATCCTGGCTGGGAAGGAAGGAAATAGCATTGGGAGAAAGTTCTTGTAAGGTGCGTAGAGGAAGGGGCTAGAAGCAAGAGACAATTTGTATGTTAGGACAGAGGCAGAAGGATAGAGTTTTAAAAATAAGCCTCCTGTACCTGAAATAAAGACTTTTCTAAATTATATATCCAGTAAAGGAAAGATTTTTCATCCTGATCAAAGTTTCCAGGCCATGATAGAATAAGCCAGAAATTCTTTCTCAGAGCTCTGCTTTTAGGAGAGATAGCAAAGTACCCATTCTCCAGAAGTAGGCAGCACAATGCATTTTTAGGTGAATTTTTAATTAAGTTTGGTCAAGAATACCTTTCATTCATTTAAATAGCTAAGCTGTAGCATCTGAAGATAAGAATTGTTGTATAAATTTTTCACTTCCATTTTTAGGAAGATTTCTTTAATGTCTTAGGAAACCTATCTCCTTTTTAAAATTATTTGACAAATATTATTAAGTTCTTTACCAGACTCTTTAATAGGAGCTGTGGAAGACACATAAATGGATGAGCTAAGGTTCCTGCTATTCTAGTGCTCACAGTATAGTTAGATATGTAAATAAATAATCGACCCTTTTTCTTTGCCTTGTCCTTTTATTATTAAACCCCAAAGTAATTTTAAGATATAACATAGATATCATAAAATATATCCAGATGACCTATTGCAAGAAAATATAAACGGAAAAAAAATGTAAACCTGTGTCTCAAATTAAGGAGAAATTATTAACTTTAAAAAGTGTTTAATGTAGGAGTTGGAGTAGTATTTAATTATTTTTAACTGTTTTTACTTTTACAAAACATTCTGTTGAAATACAGATTGACACAGTTGGCTTAATAGAAGTCCTCTTGTATCTGATATGAACAGATAAACATTCAACTAATATAATTTGTTTCCCATCAGATATAAATAAAAAATATGTTGATTTATTTCCAAGTGAAAATACAAGGATATAGCAAATTTTGCTCACTCAGTTTTTAAGTACTTTTTTCCAAGGTTTGGCTGTTCTTAGAAGGTCAGTAAGTATTCTAAAATTTAAGAGAGGAGAGATAAAAATAATATCTGGCTGTCATTCCATCCAAGCAATCGTAATATTGTCTTCCATGGAATATTTCTTAGTAAATTTATGTGTAAAAAATTAATATTTTCATTTAAAATTATATCTGATACTTCTTTTTTAGTTGGGTGGGACAGATAATTGTTTGCATGTACATGTTTTTAGTAACAGAATAACATTTCTGAAGGCTAATTTGGCACAAAGGCCACTTTAAATGGTAGAAATGGTCTCAGTTGGGGACTTCTAAGTTTGATACTTTAGAAGACTTCCTAAGTTTGATACTTTAGAAGACTTCCTCCATCTTTTAGAACAGAAGATTAGTATATGCTGCAGTTTCAGAGGCAGAAAAGACTCCTTTGCCAATTTTAGGGAAATTGCTGATGTTTATAATGAGAATGTCAGAATGAATTTAATAATGTTGCTATTAGGGTAGTTGGAAAGAGTAGTTACATACTAGTTACTTGAAACTTAGTTGCAGACACTGTCATAAACTCCAGATACTTTAGTGATTGTAACCTTGGGGGCTGGAAGTTTTATTAATAATGCTTTTATCTGTTTATTTTTAACAACAACAACAAATATGCAAAATGGAGTAAGTCCTAAACAACAGCAATTCTAAAAAAGGCAAAGCTCTCAAGATAAAATATATAACCAAATATGTAATAAAATATTATGTGTGAAGGTACATTATAACTTGAAAACAAATGTATAATAAACATAAAGTGACAATATTATTTTTAGTTTTCACAGTCATTTAATAGAAGAGACGCATACTAAATTTAATATTGCCAGAATTTTTCAAAGGACAGGTAGTAAGATTGGAGAAATAGAGGTAAAATATGAGCTTATATTGGGTGTTTGAAATTGTTCTCATTAAATCATCATGTAGTGATTTTGTGAAAGCATTGTAATAGGAATAACTAAGATGATACTTTTGGATTTTGGTGCAGCAGGCACTTGGATTTGTCATTTTTACATACATGTGAAGAATAAGTACACATCTTTTCCTCTTCTCTTTGAAATTAAACTTGAAGGTTATGAATACTGATGGCACTGGGAGACGAGTACTGGTGGAAGATAAAATTCCTCACATATTTGGGTTTACTTTGTTGGGTGACTATGTTTACTGGACTGACTGGCAGAGGCGTAGCATTGAAAGAGTACACAAACGCAGTGCAGAGAGGGAAATCATCATTGATCAGCTCCCGGACCTCATGGGACTAAAAGCCACAAATGTTCATCGGATCATTGGTACGTAATTCCAAAATTCTCTAAGAGATGGGAAGCCAGGAATGAGAAAAGATGGAGATAGCCAGCAGCTTGTAAAGCAGCAATGTAAATGGTTTATGTTTTGAGACCCACATATACCTTCATCAGAGAATTCAGTCTTAGTGTGTGAATAATATAACTTACTTTAAAGCTTTCTAGGGATACAAAGGAAAGTATTTTGCCATATTTTACTCCCCAGCTGGCCTTCATGGGAATTTTGACCTCCATTTCTGACCTAGGCCAGTTCACTCCTTGTTAGGCAAACTGGCAGTCCTCTGGTCCTGGGAGGTCACCATTACAGATGCCAGCTTAGTGTAGATACCTGGTTGGCGTAGCACACTACAACTCAGAATTCCTGGGCTCAATTCTCCTGCCTCAGCCTAACAACTAGCTGGGATTACAGCCATGCCACTGCACCCAACCATTTATTCCTTTTTAATCCAATTCTGTATTTGGGGACAGATAAAAATCTTAGGTCCTTTTAAAGAACCAATTTAAAGTGAAAATGTGGTGATTGTGTCACTGTGTATGTCCTTTTATAATTAATTTATCTTTTAGGCTCCAACCCGTGTGCTGAGGAAAATGGGGGGTGTAGCCATCTTTGCCTCTATAGACCTCAGGGCCTTCGCTGTGCCTGCCCCATTGGCTTTGAACTCATCAGTGACATGAAGACCTGCAAAGGACAGAGGCAGAAGGATAGAGTTTTAAAAATAAGCCTCCTGTACCTGAAATAAAGACTTTTCTAAATTATATATCCAGTAAAGGAAAGATTTTTCATCCTGATCAAAGTTTCCAGGCCATGATAGAATAAGCCAGAAATTCTTTCTCAGAGCTCTGCTTTTAGGAGAGATAGCAAAGTACCCATTCTCCAGAAGTAGGCAGCACAATGCATTTTTAGGTGAATTTTTAATTAAGTTTGGTCAAGAATACCTTTCATTCATTTAAATAGCTAAGCTGTAGCATCTGAAGATAAGAATTGTTGTATAAATTTTTCACTTCCATTTTTAGGAAGATTTCTTTAATGTCTTAGGAAACCTATCTCCTTTTTAAAATTATTTGACAAATATTATTAAGTTCTTTACCAGACTCTTTAATAGGAGCTGTGGAAGACACATAAATGGATGAGCTAAGGTTCCTGCTATTCTAGTGCTCACAGTATAGTTAGATATGTAAATAAATAATCGACCCTTTTTCTTTGCCTTGTCCTTTTATTATTAAACCCCAAAGTAATTTTAAGATATAACATAGATATCATAAAATATATCCAGATGACCTATTGCAAGAAAATATAAACGGAAAAAAAATGTAAACCTGTGTCTCAAATTAAGGAGAAATTATTAACTTTAAAAAGTGTTTAATGTAGGAGTTGGAGTAGTATTTAATTATTTTTAACTGTTTTTACTTTTACAAAACATTCTGTTGAAATACAGATTGACACAGTTGGCTTAATAGAAGTCCTCTTGTATCTGATATGAACAGATAAACATTCAACTAATATAATTTGTTTCCCATCAGATATAAATAAAAAATATGTTGATTTATTTCCAAGTGAAAATACAAGGATATAGCAAATTTTGCTCACTCAGTTTTTAAGTACTTTTTTCCAAGGTTTGGCTGTTCTTAGAAGGTCAGTAAGTATTCTAAAATTTAAGAGAGGAGAGATAAAAATAATATCTGGCTGTCATTCCATCCAAGCAATCGTAATATTGTCTTCCATGGAATATTTCTTAGTAAATTTATGTGTAAAAAATTAATATTTTCATTTAAAATTATATCTGATACTTCTTTTTTAGTTGGGTGGGACAGATAATTGTTTGCATGTACATGTTTTTAGTAACAGAATAACATTTCTGAAGGCTAATTTGGCACAAAGGCCACTTTAAATGGTAGAAATGGTCTCAGTTGGGGACTTCTAAGTTTGATACTTTAGAAGACTTCCTAAGTTTGATACTTTAGAAGACTTCCTCCATCTTTTAGAACAGAAGATTAGTATATGCTGCAGTTTCAGAGGCAGAAAAGACTCCTTTGCCAATTTTAGGGAAATTGCTGATGTTTATAATGAGAATGTCAGAATGAATTTAATAATGTTGCTATTAGGGTAGTTGGAAAGAGTAGTTACATACTAGTTACTTGAAACTTAGTTGCAGACACTGTCATAAACTCCAGATACTTTAGTGATTGTAACCTTGGGGGCTGGAAGTTTTATTAATAATGCTTTTATCTGTTTATTTTTAACAACAACAACAACAAATATGCAAAATGGAGTAAGTCCTAAACAACAGCAATTCTAAAAAAGGCAAAGCTCTCAAGATAAAATATATAACCAAATATGTAATAAAATATTATGTGTGAAGGTACATTATAACTTGAAAACAAATGTATAATAAACATAAAGTGACAATATTATTTTTAGTTTTCACAGTCATTTAATAGAAGAGACGCATACTAAATTTAATATTGCCAGAATTTTTCAAAGGACAGGTAGTAAGATTGGAGAAATAGAGGTAAAATATGAGCTTATATTGGGTGTTTGAAATTGTTCTCATTAAATCATCATGTAGTGATTTTGTGAAAGCATTGTAATAGGAATAACTAAGATGATACTTTTGGATTTTGGTGCAGCAGGCACTTGGATTTGTCATTTTTACATACATGTGAAGAATAAGTACACATCTTTTCCTCTTCTCTTTGAAATTAAACTTGAAGGTTATGAATACTGATGGCACTGGGAGACGAGTACTGGTGGAAGATAAAATTCCTCACATATTTGGGTTTACTTTGTTGGGTGACTATGTTTACTGGACTGACTGGCAGAGGCGTAGCATTGAAAGAGTACACAAACGCAGTGCAGAGAGGGAAATCATCATTGATCAGCTCCCGGACCTCATGGGACTAAAAGCCACAAATGTTCATCGGATCATTGGTACGTAATTCCAAAATTCTCTAAGAGATGGGAAGCCAGGAATGAGAAAAGATGGAGATAGCCAGCAGCTTGTAAAGCAGCAATGTAAATGGTTTATGTTTTGAGACCCACATATACCTTCATCAGAGAATTCAGTCTTAGTGTGTGAATAATATAACTTACTTTAAAGCTTTCTAGGGATACAAAGGAAAGTATTTTGCCATATTTTACTCCCCAGCTGGCCTTCATGGGAATTTTGACCTCCATTTCTGACCTGGGCCAGTTCACTCCTTGTTAGGCAAACTGGCAGTCCTCTGGTCCTGGGAGGTCACCATTACAGATGCCAGCTTAGTGTAGATACCTGGTTGGCGTAGCACACTACAACTCAGAATTCCTGGGCTCAATTCTCCTGCCTCAGCCTAACAACTAGCTGGGATTACAGCCATGCCACTGCACCCAACCATCTATTCCTTTTTAATCCAATTCTGTATTTGGGGACAGATAAAAATCTTAGGTCCTTTTAAAGAACCAATTTAAAGTGAAAATGTGGTGATTGTGTCACTGTGTATGTCCTTTTATAATTAATTTATCTTTTAGGCTCCAACCCGTGTGCTGAGGAAAATGGGGGGTGTAGCCATCTTTGCCTCTATAGACCTCAGGGCCTTCGCTGTGCCTGCCCCATTGGCTTTGAACTCATCAGTGACATGAAGACCTGCATTGTCCCAGAGGCTTTCCTGTTATTTTCACGGAGAGCAGATATCAGGCGAATTTCTTTGGAAACTAACAATAATAATGTGGCCATTCCACTCACTGGTGTCAAAGAAGCTTCTGCTTTGGATTTTGATGTGACAGACAACCGAATTTACTGGACTGATATATCACTCAAGGTTAGCAGGAATACTGGAATATTAAAACTGGAGACTAAGAGTGAGAGCTTTTAGAATTTCTGGTTTTCTTGCTATCATCAGTCTTCCTCATTGCTTAATAGGCAAAGTTCAACAAAAATCCTTACTTTAAAGGAAGTCAGGGGAAAGGCCCATTCAGTATTTCATTTTATTTATTTTATCATTTTACATTTTGAGGTACATACAATAAAATGCACAAATCTTAGCGTACAGCTTGATGAATTTTGACACATATACCCTCAAGTAACCATCATCTAGATCAAGATACCAAACATTCTAATTTCCACCCCCTCTTTTTTGTTAAACCTACTTCACCCGTCTTCCCATCCCCTTCCCCATTTAGTGTTTTACTATTGCCGTTTACTACAGGATACATTGCTTGAGTGTGCTCAGCCAGCAAGACAATCTTCCTCTACTTTTTTCTGTTTTGACATAATGAGTGATATTTTCTGCAATTAGAGAATAAGCAATTGTATGTTTCACATAAATGGTTTATAGAGACTTAACCCTTTATTTTAAACACAGTTTTGGAGCCTGACTGAGGGAGAAAATGCCAGTTACTAGTTACAGCTTTGCTTTATTTTCTGTTTCCTAGAATAAATACTGAAAAGTACCCTGAGTCAGTAAGGAGAGCCTCCTGACCAGAAAATCTGGAGAATTTTTCTTTCTTTCTTCCAGATTGTTTTGGGCTTGTTTCAAGTAACTTTGCAAAATTCTGTTTAGATGCAAAAATCATGGGGTGTAGGAGCCAGAGTTGGATTCTAATGGTGGTCAGTAAATATTATTAAGTGAGTGAATAAAGTGAGTAAATAAATCCTGGCTTTTATTGTGTGTGGCCTTTTAACTTCCCTCATTTTGAAAATAGTGATAATGCCTATCTTGCAGGGCTATTGTGTGGATTAAATGAGAAAATATATTTACATAGAATGCTTGGGTTAATGCTTGACAAGTAGACGTTTTTATTAATAGCTTGAATTCATTATTTTAAATTTTAGGGAATTCAAAACTGTAATGGTAATAATACGATAGTGGTTATATGCATTTTATAAGGTATACAGTTGTTGAGATCTTCTCAAATTGACACAATGACACAACATACTCTCAAGCACCTTCAGATAGCTGGCCACCAGTTAAGAATCTACACCTTTCTGGTCACATTTTTTTCACTTGATTACTAATAAATTTTAAAAAGAAAAGTCATTCCACTGTCTTAATAGAATGAATTTTTGGTTCTTAAGGATCTCAAACATTTCTCCCGGAATTGGCAATAAAACTTGAAGCTGCAGTTGGCATTTATTAAAGACTGATTTCAGTTTTTTTCTGTGCTTGTAAAATATGTGAATTGTATTAAGAAACTGCCTCTGGTTGCTCTGAATCCTCCCACCCAAAAAGAAAAACCCAACTAAATGTTCTTTCTAGACAGTGTTTTATACATAAGTCATGTGACTTTATTGTTAATCTTATTTTCGCAGACTATCAGCAGAGCCTTTATGAATGGCAGTGCACTGGAACACGTGGTAGAATTTGGCTTAGATTATCCAGAAGGCATGGCAGTAGACTGGCTTGGGAAGAACTTGTACTGGGCAGACACAGGAACGAATCGAATTGAGGTGTCAAAGTTGGATGGGCAACACCGACAAGTTTTGGTGTGGAAAGACCTAGATAGTCCCAGAGCTCTTGCATTGGACCCTGCTGAAGGGTAAACAGCTTTATGTATGCATTCTTTGCAACTACCTTGTGCACGGCCTGGTTAGGGATTATATTCTTGCTGTCTTAAATAATGCTTATTAGGAATCTGATAACTAAACCATAGATAGGCTTTTTTTTAAAACCATTCGTTGAGATTTCACTGATAGAGAATTAAATATTTTTTAGCTAAATTGTACTTCGGTTACTAACATTGGGTGAAGATTAGTGAAATGAATTGGTAATTCAATATTACCATATTTATATACTAAGTAAACAGCCTTTTTTAAATTGATGTATAGTTGATATACAACATTATGTTGGTTTCAGGTATGTAACACATATGGTTACACTATTAAATCCTTACCCCAGTTAGTACAGTTACCATCTGTCACCATAGAAAGATACTAAGTATCTTTGTGAAGGTAACATTATGTTTGTATTTGCTCCCACCCTTTCCTGAGTTATACCAGATTCCAAACCCACTGAAGTAGTGCTAAGAAATGACTGCATTAAAATGGCTCTATTTTAGATGATTCATTAATTCAAAATGGACAACTAGGTCGGTGATTATTACAAGCTTGGAGAAGCTTTGATATTAAACAGTAAACTATTTATAACATGAGATGTTTTTCAAAGGCAAGTGGTCCATCTTAAATGATTTAGCAAGTTTTAAAAAGCCAGCAGGTGAGAAGTCTGAAATTTGAGTAATTACACTTATAAAAGGAAAAGTTAACAATGTAAATGCGTAAGCATTTTTATCATGTCTGTAATTAAAAATAGTTTCCCTGAAATCACATTATTTCCATGATAGCTGTTTAGCCATCCAGTTAGAAGGCCTTATCAAAGACAGCTTCTCTGTGCCTGACATGTTGTAGCTAGATTATGGTGATCTCTAAGCATAAGGTACCAGACAGCTAAATTTAGTAGCCAGGGACTAAGGACGCTAGTTTATGTGGCTGCTGGCAACTGTGAAATTTCTCTCACAGTTGTTTCTCTTTGGCTCTTACCGTGTGCATGTGCCTGTCAACTGACAAGGGCAAATGGAAACAAAGCCGGAGACCAACTTTAATTTTCAGAAAAGCATGTTCATACATTATTACCAAGTCACCCATCAGCTGACAGGCTGATGAGTGAATGACCATCCTCCAGTATTTGATGAGAGCTGGCATGTAGAATGCTTTCCTAGTTCCAGTATTCAGCGTGTCTCAAAACCAGCACCTTGCTAGTTTAATTGAAAGGGCCACTAAAGGATTAGTGCTTCAGTTGGCCAAGGATTAGGTTCTGGTGCTAGCTCTGCCCTGTAACTGGCTTGAAATATTAGACAAATCATTCACATTTCTCTTATTGCTTTGGCCTCCTCATTTGTAAAAAGCCTGTACTGCAGGGCTGTTCTAAGGTTAACATGAAAAACTTGAAAAAGTAAAATAGAAGCAAAAGAGTATTCTAAAATTTCACAGGGACTGAAGTAGTAGTGTTTACTTTCCTGCTGACATCTTAAGGGGTGATTCATTGCTCTTACACATACAGTATGTTCCCTTGGACCAAGTGACTAAGAACATTTTCAAACTTGGCTTTCTGGCTTCAGTGAAAGGCTGTTAATTTTTACTTTTGGTGTACTCCTGCAACTTGTTTTGGGGGAAGTTGATTACACAAATCAAAAAGAAGTGTAAAAATTAGAAAACTCAAATTGCTTGTATTCAATAGTACATAAATATATTTTATTCAGAAGTAAGAATTAAATATTTTTTAGCTAAATTGTACTTCGGTTACTAACATTGGGTGAAGATTAGTGAAATGAATTGGTAATTCAATATTACCATATTTATATACTAAGTAAACAGCCTTTTTTAAATTGATGTATAGTTGATATACAACATTATGTTGGTTTCAGGTATGTAACACATATGGTTACACTATTAAATCCTTACCCCAGTTAGTACAGTTACCATCTGTCACCATAGAAAGATACTAAGTATCTTTGTGAAGGTAACATTATGTTTGTATTTGCTCCCACCCTTTCCTGAGTTATACCAGATTCCAAACCCACTGAAGTAGTGCTAAGAAATGACTGCATTAAAATGGCTCTATTTTAGATGATTCATTAATTCAAAATGGACAACTAGGTCGGTGATTATTACAAGCTTGGAGAAGCTTTGATATTAAACAGTAAACTATTTATAACATGAGATGTTTTTCAAAGGCAAGTGGTCCATCTTAAATGATTTAGCAAGTTTTAAAAAGCCAGCAGGTGAGAAGTCTGAAATTTGAGTAATTACACTTATAAAAGGAAAAGTTAACAATGTAAATGCGTAAGCATTTTTATCATGTCTGTAATTAAAAATAGTTTCCCTGAAATCACATTATTTCCATGATAGCTGTTTAGCCATCCAGTTAGAAGGCCTTATCAAAGACAGCTTCTCTGTGCCTGACATGTTGTAGCTAGATTATGGTGATCTCTAAGCATAAGGTACCAGACAGCTAAATTTAGTAGCCAGGGACTAAGGACGCTAGTTTATGTGGCTGCTGGCAACTGTGAAATTTCTCTCACAGTTGTTTCTCTTTGGCTCTTACCGTGTGCATGTGCCTGTCAACTGACAAGGGCAAATGGAAACAAAGCCGGAGACCAACTTTAATTTTCAGAAAAGCATGTTCATACATTATTACCAAGTCACCCATCAGCTGACAGGCTGATGAGTGAATGACCATCCTCCAGTATTTGATGAGAGCTGGCATGTAGAATGCTTTCCTAGTTCCAGTATTCAGCGTGTCTCAAAACCAGCACCTTGCTAGTTTAATTGAAAGGGCCACTAAAGGATTAGTGCTTCAGTTGGCCAAGGATTAGGTTCTGGTGCTAGCTCTGCCCTGTAACTGGCTTGAAATATTAGACAAATCATTCACATTTCTCTTATTGCTTTGGCCTCCTCATTTGTAAAAAGCCTGTACTGCAGGGCTGTTCTAAGGTTAACATGAAAAACTTGAAAAAGTAAAATAGAAGCAAAAGAGTATTCTAAAATTTCACAGGGACTGAAGTAGTAGTGTTTACTTTCCTGCTGACATCTTAAGGGGTGATTCATTGCTCTTACACATACAGTATGTTCCCTTGGACCAAGTGACTAAGAACATTTTCAAACTTGGCTTTCTGGCTTCAGTGAAAGGCTGTTAATTTTTACTTTTGGTGTACTCCTGCAACTTGTTTTGGGGGAAGTTGATTACACAAATCAAAAAGAAGTGTAAAAATTAGAAAACTCAAATTGCTTGTATTCAATAGTACATAAATATATTTTATTCAGAAGTGAACCAGATTCTGGGACCAAAGCTGTAATCCCTTGCTATCTTATTGAATATTAGTTTTATAAATGCAAGTACTGCAATAAAAAGAAATCATTGGTTTGTTTCCAGTTCCTAGATTTTGGATGGAATAAATTCATTGGGGAGACTAAGGAAAGCTGACTGACTCACTTCCTTTTTAGGATATGAGAAAAAATATTTATTTGAGGGTGCCAAAATAATTGAAGAATTATAGCTATGATTCTGTTTTACCAGTTTCCTTGATTTAATGTGTAATTTCTTTAAATTTATTTAGTTGCTATGTGTGACTATGGCCCTTTCTCCCAAACAATCAAAGGTGAAGTGTTAAACATCCATTGTTTTGAATTTAGATTTATGTATTGGACGGAATGGGGAGGAAAACCTAAGATCGACAGAGCTGCCATGGATGGAAGTGAACGGACTACATTAGTTCCAAATGTGGGGCGAGCAAATGGCCTAACTATTGATTATGCTAAAAGAAGGCTCTATTGGACAGACCTGGACACCAATTTAATAGAATCTTCAAATATGCTTGGTAAGCTGTACTTCTTTTTATTCACAGAGATACTATTATTCTTTCTTTGTGAAAATAAGTGGCTGCTATTCACCATTGGTTAGATACTGTTAATAAAACTTCATGTGAATGTCTAGATTCTTCTGCCTGACATTATAGCCTGTTTATTATTACTAATAGTGGGCCAGCTAGTTGGATTTACATCTCTTTATTATGTGAAAATTTCTTTATTATTGGACTTATAATGGAATTTGTGACTCTCTAGATATTCCTGAAATAACTTTTTATACCAGTAAAATACAATATATGCTTTTCCATCTTTTTTATGGAAGGAAGAAGAAAAGTTGAACTATAGACTCTTTTGGAGAGAAAAATAAGACCATAGTCAAAATAAACCATTCACAGGAGTTTAAACAAACTCAGTGATTTATGGCAAGAATATAAGTTTGAGGCATGGGGTTAGACTGCAGATGGATTGATTTTAGAATACTGGTCTGGTTTTAGAATTGCTTTTAAATGAATTGTTCTTTTTTAAATTGCTTACAAATGTAATGTTTTATATGTTACAATTCCTTTGGCCAACAAGACTCTTACATTCTCATATATCTCATCGCTCTGCTTCTCCCCTGTCTGAAAATAGGACTCAACCGTGAAGTTATAGCAGATGACTTGCCTCATCCTTTTGGCTTAACTCAGTACCAAGATTATATCTACTGGACGGACTGGAGCCGACGCAGCATTGAGCGTGCCAACAAAACCAGTGGCCAAAACCGCACCATCATTCAGGGCCACTTGGATTACGTGATGGACATCCTTGTCTTTCACTCCTCCCGGCAGGCAGGGTGGAATGAATGTGCTTCCAGCAATGGGCACTGCTCCCACCTCTGCTTGGCTGTGCCAGTTGGTGGTTTTGTTTGTGGGTGCCCTGCCCACTACTCCCTTAATGCTGACAACAGGACTTGTAGTGGTAAGCTGCATTTCCCCCCAAAGCAAACTAGAACTAGAGGAGAAAGCAGGCTTTTGAAAACACTATGGTTCATGCTCTTTCTCAAGTAAAAAGTTGTAGAAGTCCAGAGTTGATCATTTGTTTAATGAAAGGGAAGGACTAAAGATGAAAAAAATGTAAGCTTTTGTAGTTATTGTTTGTTTGATGATAGCTAATTGATGTTACAGAAAAATTGTCTTTTATCTTTGGACATTAAATACTAGTTGCAAATTTTGCATAGCTTTATTGACAGAGCCAGACATGCATGCTACATGTAATTCAGATTTATTCATTATGAAGGAAGGGAAGAGCAGTACAAAACAGTATAACAAAGAGAATCTCCAAAATACAACCTCCTTGTCCTTTGAAGTTCATAGAATAGGCTAAAGATAAGGAATTTAAATGTTTAAGAGTCCAAGCAGAAAATGCATATAAGTAAATTTAGCCCAGCATGAAACAATATTAAATAAATAGGGAACTACAGAGTACATGCTGTAAACTTAGTGAATGGTCACTCTTAATTCCAGTGGGTGTTGTCAGATCTTCTCACCCAGTCATAAATATGGAATTTTTTTTTTTGGCTCTAATTTCTCCTGATTTTTAAATGTTAGCAAGGAGTACATAATAAACACACACACACACACCATGCTAACAACATGTGTAATAAAACATTAGTGGCTTAGGGAAGCCTGGTTTATGACTCAGGTATGTGTGAAGGCCCATGTCTTGGTGGGTAAACAGGAACAAAATTGGTAGATATGATAAAGAAATAGAGAATTTGATCAGAAAGAGTAGATTCATGGGAGAGAAAGAGAAGGAGGTTACAAAACTGTTACAGGATATTGAATATAATTAACCATTGAAATTATTTTGTGTCTATAAGTATAAGAAGTCACATAGGAAAAGATGTAGTTTGTTCTGATACAAAGCTTTCATTGTGAAAAAGCAAGAATATAAGATTATAGCTTAATGATTTGGAGCCAGCCACATGTTGAACCAGGGACAACAAAATTTTTGTAAAGGGCCAGAGAATAAATACTTAGACTTTGCGAGGTTTGTGATCTCTCCCTCCTGTTCAGTTGTGTCCTCTATAGCATAAAAGCAGCTATAGTATAGACAATACATTTGGAAAAAATGGCTGAATTCCAATAAACTTTTATTACAAAAACAGGCAACAGGCCAGATTTAGCTTGTGGGCCATAGTTTGCCAGTTCCTGGTGTAGAAAAAAGATGGGATGATCTGCTAAGCTAAGGAACTCTGTCTGAGGAGGGAAAACTCAGAAAAGTAGCAGCCAGAGAGGTGAGAGGAGAGCCAGGGGAGACCAGTGGCTCTGAAGATGAGAGACAATATTGTTGTTTTTTAAAAAAAAGTGTTGAATGCTGCTGAGAGGTTGAGTAAGGTGAGGCCTACAGTGGTGTCCATTGGATTTATGGATGAGGTGGTTATTAGTAATCCTGAAGACAGTAATCTCAGGGAAGTTATGGTGAAAGATTGGAGTAGATCAAAATGTGAATGGAGAAAAGGGAAGGGAGGGGAGGTAGTGTATACAGATGTCTTTTTCAAGAGGTCTGACTTCAAATGGGAAGAGGAAATGAAGGTAATAACTGATGGAGGATGGAGACAAGAAGACTGTGGAAGCGGCCTGTTGACTGAGCTGCTTATAGCTGTGCATATTAGTTGGTGGGTGAAGGCCATGAGGAATCAGAGCGGAGTGTCCCTACCTGTCTTTGGCTACCTTCCTAAGAGAGATCAGCCGTGCTTCAAAAGGCTTCCTGTTGTGTGCTCTTTTTATTATGAGTACTGTTTAATATTTGTGTAGAGGTGTTTTAGATTCCAAGGCAGACTGCAGGAGTTGTTAAACATAAAGTACTTGCCCTCAAAAAAGTTTTCTAACATTGTCCTGTTTCAAAAGCTAAATCAGGTCATGTTGTTCCTCTGCTCAAAACTTAAAGTGGTTCCCCATTTCACACAGAATAAAAAAAACCTAGTTCTCACAGTGACCTGTAAGTTCCTATGTGATCTGTACCCCACACTTTGTATTCCCCTTTTGCTTCTCTGCCCTCAGCTTTTACTATTCTCTCCCTTATTCTGTCTGTGACAGGCACACCAGCAGCCTCACTGCTGTTTGCAAATGTGCCAGTGACTCCCACCTCAGACTGTTGTACTGCTTATTTCCTCTGCTTGAAATGTGTTTGCATGAATGTTCTTCACCTCCAGGTCTTTTCTTAATTGTGACCTCCACAGTGAGATCCATTCTACCCTACTTAAAATTGCAAATTGTCTTCCCACCCTATCTAGCATTATCAGTTCCCATTACCTGTACTTTTTCTTTTTCTCATAACTCTTACCACTCTTTGATATACTATAATTTATATACTCTACTATTTATATAATATGACTTTTTAATTATGTTTATTACTTATTGTCTATTGGAATACAAACTCCCTGAAGCAGCGTTTTTTTCCTATTTTTTCACTGATACTATCTTAGGTGCTTAGAACAGTGCTTAGTATATAGTAGTCAAGTAGTCATTCAGGAAATCATTGTTAAATAAAAGAATGAAGAGCAGGTAGGATTTGGAAGAATACATGTGTTCTTCCATTTAACAGCCTTGTGATCTTGGAAAAATTACTTAAACTTTCTGAGCCTTTCTTTAGAAACGACTTAACCTTTCTAAGTTTGTTCATCTGTAAAATAGAGATGACAATTTTGGGGATTAAGTAACATCTAGTATAATGTGTGACATGTTGGAGGTCCTGAATAAATATTTATTTCTTTTCCTTCCCAACTGTCTGAAATAATTTTACTTTGAAAATCATGGCTACAGGGCTCTCCTTAGATATCATGATAACTTCATTTGTTTATTCATTCATGCCATTGGTGAATATTCTTTGAATTAGCTCTTATGTACTGGGAAATATTTGAGCCGGTGGAGAATATAGCAGTGAATGAAATAGACATCAGTCTTTGCCTTAATGCAACTAACATTCCAGGGGACAGATAACAAACCAAATAACTAAACTATGTCATTGGTTAGATGAAGTTAAGTGTTAATGGAGAAATATTAAGAGCAAGGAAGGGTGGGGAGAAAGATTGCAGTGTTAAATAGGGTGATCAGAGAAGTTCTTACTGAAAAAGTGATGCAATATCAACTGAAGGAGGTGATATAATGAGCCATGTGGATGCCTGGGAGATGATCTTGCAAGCAAAAGGGGGCAGCAAATGCAGAAGATCTTTCAAGCAAACATGGGAGATGGGGACATGTCTGGCATGTTAAAGGAGCACCTAGGAGGCCAGTGTCACTGCAACAGAGTGAATGAAGAGAGTAGGTCAGGGAGGAAACAGGAAGCCAAATTGCATGATCCTTGTTTGGACTGAGGTAACTGGTCTCTGTGGCACCTTTTTGCAAATTGGGAAGGATGTTTCCTCTGGGTACATGGATTGACTAGTGCAGAGTGGACTGGAATTCTGTTCCCACTTGATGTCTCTGGCACAGTGCACAAATGTTACAGTCAAATGGGGGCCTTTGCCTTGTGTTTTATGTTCTTACATGAGAGCATCACCTTACTTTTAAGCTAGAGGTGAACACTTACTTGTACCTTCAAAAAGGAGTGGAAATACTCCTTCCTACTTAACACCTCATACTCCAGCTTCTGCACGTGGTTCTCTCCATTGTGGGAATGCAAAACTCAGACAACCTGATAGAACAATTTTCAAAGCACCATTATGTGGAATATGAAGGCCTGGTGGGTAGATGTTACATAAATTAGAATAGATTTAAGCTTACAAAATTGCATATTCTTTGCCACTGTAAGCAATGACTTACTTGTAAATAAGTCAAAACATCAGCTTCTTAGAGATACTGAGCCAATTAATTGTAATTGTTAATGTCATGTGTAGACTTTCTGAAACACGTATTTATTTGGGGCCGTATTTGACTTTGTCCTAACCCACATTTCCAGAACACCTAATTGTGGAATCTATTGAAGGTTAAAACTTGACTCAAAAAAAGAGAGAGAGAAGAAAAAGTACCCAGTAAAACAAACTAGGAGCCAAATATATATTTGATTAATTGTTGTCCAGGCAAGAAAAGTTGGCAACTAAAACCCTGGGATCTTTCTTCTAAGCCTCATTGTGTGTCTCAGTGTAAGTGGTGCTCATTCTGTTGTAAATGTACAGTTTAGAGCCTTTTTCTTTTCTTTTTTTCTTGATTTATAATAAAGTAGTACTGCCAAAAAATAATTTTTCTTTTAAAAAAGGGGGAGACTTAGCTACTCTCTTGTGATCTGCATTCTTACTACTTAAAGGATGAGTTGTACTAAAATTGCTGAAAGTTGTTAAATCAGTGTGATGGCCTCCAGATAATGGAGAGTTCCTGTGGGATCATTGGAATACTTTCTAAATCTTTGGAGCGAGGTATGGGCTCTTAGCCAGTGAAGAACTTTAAATAAAACAGAATTTTACTGTTGTGAATACCAAGTTTCTTTGTGAATACCAATGAGTTTTTTTGGGATTTAAGCCAGTATACCATTGGGTATAAATGTAAAGCAAACAAGGGAACCACAAGTAATGTTTGTGAAGAATGTGGTTTGGGGGAAGTAAAGTGAGGAGTTCTGGCTTGGCCATTTATGTTTATATCCTTGACCAGGACAAAGTTCTGCTGGATTTAGGTGATGACTGAGCCCCAAGAAAATAGAATATAATTATGCAATTTTTATGTATATTTTAAATGATTTTAAAAATGCAGTTAGACTTTGAAGTTGTTGGTAACACCATCAGATGCTGTTCTTTATAGATGTTTTCCTGTTTTAAAGGTGTTTACATAGTAATCAGTTGCCTAGTCCCTGGGAAAGGGAAATGTTGTCTCTTTTATTTCTCCATTTCATATAATCAACTTAGCTTCAGGGCAGAATATTTTTTAGTGAAAATACAGATACGAAGTTGTTATGAGAATTAGAAATAAGGAGTATAAAGCTTTTGTTACTTGTGTATATGCATGTGTGTGAGTGTGTGTTTACCGGCTCTCTCTCCTTGCAGCCATCATATATGCACAGTGCAAAAAAAGTCCGTATCTGCAATCCCTAAAGGTTATTAATATCTCTTAATTCTAAGTTTATTACTGCTATTACTGCTAATAAACACTAGTTATTTTTACTTTATATAATGCTTTACAGTTCTTTTTAAATTATGGAATAGTTGACATAATGCCCTATAATTTTTAAAGCATTTTCACATGTTGTAAAATTCTTACAACAATTCAGTGAGCAGGACAAGATAGCTATGACCTTAGTAAACTTTGACCCAGAGAGACTCAGTGGACTCCCTGAAGTTAAGATCAATTGACTAGATTGTGAAAGAGCTGAGACTAAAATCAGTCTTGAGTTTCTGCTTTGACCTGTGGAGGCCTAGGCTTCCTTCCACCCACAAAAACAGGTTTTGGAAGAGTGGGATTTTTCACTGGTAGGCAAGGAGAATATCTTTATAAAAGGTTTCATTGAAATCAGGTCTACTATGACACTGCTGTAGACAAGATGGAGAAAATAGGCTAGATGGTTCTGGGTAATTTGGGTGATTTCATAACTGGCTTGTAACAGTGCTACCTTGAGGAGAGTGTCTGGGGGCATGCCAAAGGATTTTGTCCTCAACCTTACCTCTTCAACATCTATGTCTTTTGTATAAGATATAGACAGTATTTGAGTGATAACAGGACTTGATTATGTTTCAGATTTGTTCTTTTCTTCCTTTAAGCTCCAACTACTTTCCTGCTCTTCAGTCAAAAGAGTGCCATCAACCGCATGGTAATTGATGAACAGCAGAGCCCTGATATCATCCTCCCTATCCATAGCCTTCGGAATGTCCGTGCCATTGACTATGACCCACTGGACAAGCAGCTGTATTGGATTGACTCACGACAAAACATGATCCGAAAAGCACAAGAAGATGGCAGCCAGGTAATTTGGTGCTCAGTTCAAGATCTGTGTCTTCTGCCTATAACTGGAATAACGAACCATTCTGTTTAAATCTTGACTCTATGTAAGAGTGTATGTATGAAACCAAAATTCTGAATCTAGCAGCCTTTTTTCCTCCTAATTATCTTTGAGTAGACAACTGTTTGAAAATACTATTGGAATGAAAATTGTATTAGCACAACTTATGTTCATATATTGGAATGATTTTGTCACTGCCACCCATTTCCATTTCTGTGTTTTTTTTTATTACAGTTCTATTTACATGGAGTGTTGGAAGTTGGAGTATTAAAATCAAATAGACCTTCATTCTGATCTCAGCTCTGTCACTCACTAGGATTCTCATGAACTTTTTAGCTGCAAAGATGTAAAGCACATTGCCCATTACCTCTTACAAAGTAGGGACTCCACAAATAATGGTTCTATTACTAGTTCACTGTTACGTAAAAGGTTCAGAGGGTAGGAAACATATAACACAAACTCAGTGAAATTAAAAACATCTAGGATATGTTATCATTAATCTAGTGATTTACTTATTTGTTAATTTTGGTAAATATTACCGGTGACTATGGGATGAGAATGAAAATATTATCAACAGATCTTATCAGTGCTCACATACCAGTCATGGTTTATGTGGTTTACATTGCTTTCTTTCTGGGGCCAAGCTGTGTTAAACTGGGTTACAACAGGTAACCCATCTTTCTTACAGCAGTGATTTTGGATTTTGAGTTTATTAAAATTTTGGGAGATTAGATTACTGATTTTTCATATATTTTATCTCACAACAAAGAGCAAGGAGATGATGTATTTAAGGATGCTGAGGGGCCATTTACGGGTAGAGTTAGAGCAGTATATTGGAGATGCACCTTATGCTGTGTAGGTGAGGAACTAACAGGCTGGTAACTAGTAGATGGAAATTATAACTTACTATATAGCCAAGGACACAGCAAATAAAGTAGATAGCGTTTTTAAGGAATATGTTACCCCAGAGATGCTAAGTAAAATAAAATTTATTCAGATAGAACAGATGAATAAAGCCTTTCTTTTTGCTTGGCTCTGTAAAAAGATATTTTTTTGGTGGATTTGAGGATTAGAAAAACACATCATTGATAGGTATAGTTTGTAGCCATCATTGCTGTTATCTCTAGAGTAGTTTTTCAACTTCAGCACTGCTGGTTTTGGGGCTGGATAATCCTTTGTTGCAAGGCTGACCTGCACATTGTAGGGTGTTTCACAGCATCCCAGGCCTCTACCCAGTGGATGTCAGTTATACCTCATAGGCTTGACAGTCAGAAATGTCCCCAAACATTGGAAAATCTCCAAACAATACCCTGGTTGAGGCACTTGCAAATGCAAAGCCACCCCTGGTTGAGAACTGCTGTTTTAAAGATATTTCTAAGGTGTGCTTCTAGCCACAGTCGTTTGTGGTCTACCGGACACCGCTGTCACCTAATCAGTGTCCTTACCAGGATCCTACAGCAACAATATGGCCTCAGCTCTCTCTGTCCCATGTCATAATAGCCAAAGGGAACATTTGAAATGAGTGTTAACAAAGAATCCCATCACCCATTAAAAAAAGTGTCGGTAAGAAATGTCCCTTGAGACTTGAGAGTTCTTTCTTAGTTGTGTGACCACGTAAGTGTAAGCATTATGAGTGATCGCCTCAGAGCTGTCTGGCTTGGGATCTGATTTCCTATGTGTGTCTTTTTTCTTTCCCTAGGGCTTTACAGTGGTTGTGAGCTCAGTTCCTAATCAGAACTTAGAAATACAACCCTATGACCTCAGCATTGATATTTATAGCCGCTACATCTACTGGACTTGTGAGGCCACCAATGTGATTAATGTAACAAGATTAGATGGGAGATCAATTGGCGTGGTGCTAAAAGGCGAGCAAGACAAACCGCGAGCCATTGTGGTAAACCCCGAGAAAGGGTATGTTACCAAAGTGGCATTCAGATGTCTTGGCATAGGAGGCTCTCATCAACCTTCCTTTTCAGCCTATTAGTTATTTACCTTTAAGTGTCCTGTGCCCCAGTGAAAAACTTGATTATTTTCCAACCTGCTGCTGCAATTTCTTACATTCTTGCTTTCTTTGATTTTACTGCATAGAATTTCTTTCCTTAGTCATTGTTGCTTTGGTTCTAATTTCTACCCACACCCTAGGACCATCTGAGCTGCAGCATCCTCTATGAAGTGTCCCCCGGCCCCAGCCTGATGTGGTTTTCCCCTCTCCCAAATACCAAGCCCTGTGCCTCTCTAGTTCACTTGGTCCTTTACAATTTACCTATACTTAATTGTTTTTCAGTCTTAAATATCCTACTAGATTGCAGGTTCCTTTATGACAAGAATAATAATATGTCTTCTTTCATTTAATATGGAGCTTTGCATTTAGTAAATAGTACTTATTTGCATCTGAATGAAATATCTAATGAAAAGGAATTTAACAGGGAAAATAGCTTTTTTCAAAAGAGTTTCAGGAAAGAGATGAACTCTAGAAGTTAGATATAAGAAAAGATTTATATAGACTTCTTATTAGTTATGAAATGGACTAATTAGACAAGGAATTCAAAATTTTATTTCCAGATCTCTCTGGTTACTGTTCTTTTACTTCATTTATTTTATGCATTTAATTGTATTATATCAAAAGCATAAATGTGTCTGGGTCTAACACTTTTTTTACTAATCCATGAAAGCTCCCTAGGAACTTCTGGGTACCCTTTGTTACTACTTTTAAAAGTATCCCATGGCCTTTTAAAAATATATCCTAAAACATTTGAAAGTAAGATTTAAAAATATTATTCTACCTCCTTTTGTCTTAACAAGAGTATTCTCATTTTGTATGGCTTCTTACTTTGGTAAACTTATTGCTTCCTCATTTTTCTTCAGGTATATGTATTTTACCAATCTTCAGGAAAGATCTCCCAAAATTGAACGAGCTGCTTTGGATGGAACAGAACGGGAGGTCCTCTTTTTCAGTGGCTTAAGTAAACCGATTGCTTTAGCCCTTGACAGCAGATTGGGCAAGCTCTTCTGGGCTGATTCTGATCTCCGGCGGATTGAAAGCAGTGATCTGTCAGGTACCCCGTAAATGTGTTTCCTTTTTTTGGATTGTTTTATTGAGATGATTCATCAATAGCATTTGTATTTTCTTCCATTATATTATTATTGTACTCACTTCTATACAGTCTTATTCACTAACAGTAGTCAGCATTAACGTGATTGAGAAGCACTTTTTCTTGAACCATCAACATGATTATTCCTTGTTACCTAATAACTTGCCAACTTTCTTGGTTTGGGTTCTGTAAATAATGTATTTCTAAGGCAGCTCTCCCCCTTTCCTGATTCTTCTGCTCAAGTTTATGTTCTCATCATCTCTGGCCTGAATTCTAGCCTGTGACTGGTCTCCTCCCTGCTGATTTCCACCCCCAAAAGTTTATACACTATTCCTAAATTAATTTTCTGAAGCATGGTTTCTAAAGTCATGTCACCACTATACTAAAAAATCTTAAGGGTAATGTCCTAACCTAAAGGAAAAAAATCTAGTTGTACACTTAAATTGGTATTTACCTTTCACAAACTCATCCAAACTCAAATGATCCTCGTGTTTTAATCAAATTAAATCATTGGTCTTCAGATAGACTTTTACTTTCTCATTTCTCTGCAGTCCTCTGTGTACAATCATAGTCACTGCTCCGGCTTCCTCTCCCTACCACCCCTTTTCTGATGTCCGAATACTCTGTGTGGCCTCACTAGTGGTAGGGAAATGAGATTAAAATAATAACACTGTTTATATCTATCGCTTGGCAAAAATATATTAAAGTTGATTATATGCAACATTGGCCAGAATAGTGGAACATGGCATGCCCTCATGCATTTTGAATTGGAAATTGGTAGAACCTTTTTGGGGGGCAATTAACAGTAAATTCCCTTTTTTGGTAGCTGTTTTATGAAAATACTGACCCAAATGCACAAGGGTATTTGCTGAGCATTATGTGTAATAGTCTTTCACAGAGAAATACATTCTAGTTCTCAAGTGTATGGTATATACAGTCATTAAAAAAAAAATAGTTATATCGGTGTATGCTCACATAGAAGGATGATTTTAAGTTGCATAATAATGTTTATTAAAATCTATATTAAAATTTATGTAACAAATGGCTATATATCTTTATATTCCTTGAGAAATAGGCAGACAAATACACTGTGAGAAAGGTGTGGAATGTTAGCATACTAATATGTTGAGTATTTTTGTATCATTAGAATTTTTATGTTTGAATACATGTGTAATTTTTTAAAAAACTAAAAATGTATTCTCTTTTCAGGTTCAAACGCCTCCCCTCCCATTATACCTTCTGTGATTTCAAACAGTCGTGCATACACTTAATGCATATGCATACACATACCTAGCCTGGTACATTTTTTCCCTCATCTGATCACCTGCATCTCATGCATCACCTCTGATTTGTATTAATACTTGTTTATGTCCATGTTTTACTCTTTTATTAATATTGAAAGTGGGTTTTTTTCCACTTCTTTCCTTTTCTCTCTCTCTCCTCTTATGATGTGTTTTTAGTTATTATAAAGTAACACATATTCATTAAAGACAGCTTACAAAAAAAAAAAGAAAAAATCCGAAACACTATCATTAGTGATACTTTAATGAATTAGTTACCATTTTCTTCTATGCATTTTTATTTCACCCTTAATAATCAGATGGTTCCAGCATGCAGGAAGCGTGTATTTCCTACCATCCAGTTTTGTCAAATCTTAGTGTTTGTTAGCTATATTTGCTTTTGAACCTCTGCTTCTCTCCCTTGAAATAAAACACTGAAGTGAATTTTGAAGTCCTTGTGTCTCGCTCCCCAATTCTGTTTTCCTCTCTTTCCCCAGAGGTAACTTTTAATGTTTTTTTTTTTGCCATGCATGTTTTGCCTGTGTGTGCCTTTTAACGTATATTCACACATATATAAACTTTTTTCATTTGTAAAAATTAGTCTCGTATTCTTTTGTAGCTTGCTTTCTTCAGATATATAGTGGTTTTCACATGATGTCTGTTATTGCACAATTCAATGCCACATGATACTGTACTGTTTGACCAATCTGTCAGTCTAAACTACTATTTCCAGTTTTGTTTTGTTTTTTCATTAAAAGCAGTGCTGCAATGATTGTTCTCATGTGCATATTTGAACATTCCTCTGTGGTCTAAACTTGGTAGTAGAATTGCTATGTAATGTACTGTGTATATATTCAACTTCAATAGAAATATCCATGTTGCTCTACAAAATAATTGTATCAATTTAAAATCCCAACCAGAAGTATGAGATTATTGCCACTCTAACATTTGGTATTGTTCGATTTCTAAATTTTTACCAGTGCAATAGTTTTAAAGGTATATCTGTCTTATTATTAATCAAATTCACATTTCCCAATTTGTTCCTGAGTTTAATTTATTGGTCACTTATGTTTCCTCTTGAACTGCTATTTATAGTCTTTGCCCATTTTTCTGTTACTGGTTGTTAGAAATTTTTTATTCAGGATTTTAATCCATTATCAAGTTATATATATATTGGAGGAGAATTGGCATGTTTAAGAAATTCAGTCATCCATACTTTTCCTCATACTATGATATAGCCCTCCATTTATTATGGTCTTGTTTAATAATTTTTTGTGTATCTTTATACTTCCTCTATAGAGAACAGTATGTGTTGTTTAAGTGTTTTCCCAGTTTATGATTTACCTTTTCACTCTCCCAGTGGTGTCTTTAGATGAAAAAGAAGTGCTTATTTTACTGCAGTGCAGTTTATTAATGTCTCCCTTTATGATTAGTGCTTTTTATGTTCTATTTAAGAAATCTTTGCCCATTCCAAAGGCACAAAGATATTTTCTTGTGTTTTTTTTCCCCTTAAATTTTTTTGTCTACCTTTTCTCTTTCAGAGCAATAATCTGTTTGGAATTTATTTTTGTGAGGCAGGGGTTAAAATTTGTTTTCTACATTTCTAGTTGATGTAGCACCATTTTTTGAGAAGACCATCCTCTTTCCCCACTGTTGTTTAATGTCACCTTTGTTATAAATCAAATAGCTGTATTTGTGTGAGTATGTTTTTGGACTCTAACTATTCCTTGGTCATTTTTTCTTACATCATATTATATTGCCCCTTAATTACTGTAACTTTATAACAAATTTATCTGGTGGTATATGTCTTTAATATTTCTCCAAGATTACCCTGGCTCTTGTTGACCCTTTGCATTTCATATACATGTTAGAATCAGCCTCTGAGTTTCCACCAAGAGAAAACACTTACTAACATTTTGACTGGGTTTGCTTTGAATTTTTAGGTCAACTTAGGGATATTATTATCTTTGTAATATTACTCTTCCAAATCATGAACATGGTACACCCCTCCATTTATTTAGAACTTTAATTTCCCTCAGTGTTTTATAGTTTTCTATGTAGGAGTCTTGCCCATCTTTCATTAGAGTTATTCCTTGATATTTGTTTCTTTTAAATGCTAGTAGAGTATTCTAAATTTTTAATATTTCATTTTTTGATTGTGGCTGGAATATAGAAGTACAGTTTCCTTTTTTCCCCCATTCTGGTATATTGAGCTTGTTCCCAGGAACCTTGCTAATTTACTTATTCATAGTTTCTTTAGGATTTTCTACAATGCAGGACTCATTTGTCTACCTATTGTGAGAGTTTTATTCATTCTTTTCAAGTCCTTTTTTGTTGGTGCCTTTTTACAGTGGCTGGGGCCCCCAGTTCAGTGGTGACAAGAATAATAGAATCCTTGGGTTTTTTAATTTTTCTTGATTTGGGAGAAATCATTCAATATTTTGTGGTTAGGTGTTACACTTGCTAAGGCTTTTCTGTTGTAACTTTTTAAAAAGCATAGTAAGGAAATTCTCTTCTATTCCTGCTTTGTTATAGTAAATCAAACTTGACATGACACATTATCCTTTTTATATATTGCTGAATTTTATTTGCTAATGTTTTGTAAGGATGTTTATATCTGTATTCTTGAGAAAGATTTTCCTTTCTTATAATGTACTTGTTGGAGTTTTGCCGTCAAGGTTACACTGACCTCATAAAAAGAAGTTTCCTCTTTTTCTGTTTTCTGAAAAAGGTTAGTGTAGTGGTGACAGGTTTTTTTTTCCTTCTTTATATATTCACAGATAATCTTACACTATTACCATGGGATCTCTTTCCACTTCATATTTTTAGGCTCCCACAGAGCCTTTCATACTGGATTATATTAGTACATGCTTAGTTTGTGGAATAAATAGACCTGTCTTTTCTTTGTTGGCTGCAGTGTTTCACTTACACCCCTTTTATCACTGCAATCAGAGTTGATCAGGTTGTTGTCATGTTTGGTGTCTTGCAGACACAGCTGACATCTCTTCTTCCCTGGTTGTCCACTTGAGGCCATCCTTCCACTATCACCACCTAATCTTTTTTAATCACTCATTACTCTTTTAAATTTAATTTTAATATTACTGAAAGCAGTACATGTGAATATTTATGGAAATGGAATGGTTCTACTTGATTTATAACAAAAAATAAGTCTATTACTCTTCCTAATCTCAGTTCCACTCTTAGAAGCATCTACCTTCAGTTATTTTAAAATAATTTGCTTAAGACAGCTATTTCTTGATTTTTCAATTTTAGACATCACAAGTTGACTTCCTTTAATGGAAGATAAAAAGATTTTGATATCTTAAAACATGTGTACCCCCAATATCCTTATGAACTTTCCTCCCATCCTCCCAGAATAGTTTTACAATTTTTAAGTTCATACTTAATTATTATTTATGGCTTTGAAAATGTTACTATCAAGCTACATTTCATTCTATAGCTTTTTTCTCCCTGAAGTTAATCTCATCTAATGTAAATATTGTTTCAATACATGAAGATACATCAAGCAATCCATCTTTTTTTCTTTTTAATTGAAAGCATGCTTCTTGAATTTCTTTGGCATCTTGCTCAGGTCTAGATTTGCTTACTTTCTGGCTCAGCCTGCTTTCACTGTTATCCTGAGAATGCACTTGCCAGCGTCTCTGGTGCTCAACATGCTGTTCCCTGAATTCCATTTTTCTGGTTATTTTTTTTTCTTGAAAGAACACACCCTCTATTAGCTTCCTGAAAGGGTATTGTAGAAGGTTACAATTCTTCATCCTGAGTTTTTCTTTCTCATACTTACGTGATACTTTGGATGTGTATAGAATTCATGTTTCATAACTGTGTTCTCAGAATTTTGAAGGCACAGCATTCAAATTGTTTTCAAGCATTTCATGTTATTGGGAAGTTTGATGACATTGTGGTTCTGGACTTCTTGTATGTGATCCTTCATTTTCTCCTCCAGAAGCTTTTAACATCTTCTCTTTTCCCCAGTGTTCTAGAATGTGGTAATAATGTGTCTGTGTGATTCCCCACTTCCCTCTTTTCTTCTTTCTTTCATTGAACTATACTAGGAGAATCCTTTCTGTCCAGAAATTTGCCCCTTGAACTCTGGAAAGGTTTTTTTTTTTATTTTGTTTCTTTGATTTTCTTTTTACCTGGTTTCTCATTCTGGAACTTTATTCAGATGCGGGACCTTGACTATCTCTGTATTTTTCTCTCCTGCTAACCACCTCTGTCTTTTTATTCTGCTTTCCGGAAGGGTTTTCAGTTTATCTTCCAACCATCTTATTGGACTTATTTTTTTATTTCCAAGTCTCATAATTTTAATTTCTCAGAGCTCTTATTTTGTTCTTTGGATACTGTGCCCCCACTGAAAGCAGCCAGTTCTTTAGTTTTTTTGCTGCCTTTGATTTTTTTTTTTATGCTTTTAGTTGTGTCTTTTTCTCCAAGTTCTTTTGTTCTGTTTGTCTTGGGCTTTGAATGTAAAAGTAGTTTTCTTTAAATAACTGGTGATCCTTAGTTTTATGTTTATATTTAATAGTGAGGCATTCCAAGTGCTGACTTTCACATTGTTGCTGCTTGTGAAGCACTGGGAATTCTCACAGAGCCCTGGCTGTTTTGTAATGGGACTTCCACGTTACACTGGAGTTCTTTTCTCTTGGATATCTCAGGTTTTTTGTTTGATTATTGTTGGGAACTCTGCCAGTCTTTTGTAGGAGGGTAATAGCTGGCTGCCAGTGTTCTTGGAGTCCAGAGGGGGAAAGGTGTGAGGGAGAGTCTCACTAGTTAGAAAGTAGACTTCTAAGTAATTCCCTTGTAAAATCCCACATATGGCATATCTCTTTGCCTTGCCTCATATGTTAAAGTCTCGTTCAACCTCTTTAGAAAGTAGTCTTCAGTCTTCCTCTTGAGGCAGGGAGATGATTCGGGAGCTGCATGACTTCTTTCAGCGCCAGCCACGTACTTTCTCCCTTTGCTCCACCCCAAAATACCTGGTGCTTCCAGTTCCTGCACTAAATGATTCTGATGGTGGCTTCCCTGACTGAGCATTTAGCTTCCTCTGGGCTGCTGTGTCGTTATTCTTGGTCTGTCTCCAAGTTCTATTAATATCACTTTTCTGCTCTTCTGTCCTATTTATCCTCATGGGTTTATACCTTCATTTTTTACCACCATTTTAGTAAATTTTTAGGAGGAAATACAAGTAAACTTCTGTTGGACCTACCATGTATCTCAGTATTGACTTAGGCAATGCCTCTTCATATGAAATATCTCCCCACTTTTCTCTTTATTAAAATTTAGTTTTATGCTTGCCTAAAGTATTTCCAAAGTACAAGCTGATGTCACTTAGGAAAAATGTTCTATAGATATCTGAAGGACTATCATGAGGAAGAGGGAAGGAATGAGTGTATTTTTTCTTTTTAAATAGGGAGAACCTATGGCAGTGGGGGTGTGGGGCACAGATTTCAGCACGCTGGGTAAAGGACCTTTCTCACAGTTCACGGTAGGATAGATTGTCTCTTAAGAGTCTAGATGGCTCTGTCTGGGATGTTACAGGAAGAATTCTTACTTTGAGGGGAGGCTTGAACTAGGTAACCTGTGAGTTAGTCGTTGATCCTGTGTTCTGAGTGGTCTGGTGGGTGGAGGGGGAGTTGTTCTTCACTGATGCCTTAGCTGTGCCCAGTGAGTGGGGGCAGGCCAAAGACATAGCTCTGTGCTCACCACCACTGCTTCATCCAGAGAATTACCATTTTTATTTGTTTTATATGCTCAAGCTTTCATAAAATTTAATTTGAAAAATTGACTCAACTGTTAAATTTCTACATTTTTATAAACAAAAAACTACATTTTTGTAGTTCTTTTTTACATTTCTTTGAAACTCAAGTATTTACTATGTATTGGGCATTTAGATTTGCTCTTGATTGCTCTTTAATATCTAGTCTGTTGCCTATTTTCTGGTTTATATCTTTTTTTTCTCAGATTTTCAAGTTTTATGGTAGAGAGCTTATATTTTCCTTTTCATACTTGTAGAATCTTAACTGATATTCAATGAATAGTTGTTCAATGTATGATGACTCACATGATCATTTCTGTCTAATGTGCCCCTTTCCAAGGTGCCAACCGGATAGTATTAGAAGACTCCAATATCTTGCAGCCTGTGGGACTGACTGTGTTTCAAAACTGGCTATATTGGATTGATAAGCAGCAGCAAATGATTGAAAAAATTGACATGACAGGTCGAGAGGGTAGAACCAAAGTCCAGGCTCGAATTGCTCAGCTTAGTGACATTCATGCAGTAAAGGAACTGAACCTTCAGGAATATAGTAAGTGCTGATACCACATTGCTAATTGCAGGGTTCATTCTTATATTGTTGTAAGAAATTAAGATAAAATTAAGATGTTCTTTGGTGTGTTCTTACCTCCTTATTGTCAAGATTTTCATGTACTTTTAGTTTCACCACTTTTTTTTTAACTCATGTTTTTAAAGCTGTGTATCAGACTCACCTGGGAGCTTTTCCAATTAAAAAGGAAACACGAATGGGGAAAAGGGATGGTTTTTGCTCATTCTGAAAAATTTTCCCAGGTACAACAAAGACTCTGTCATGCCTTCCCTCTCTCTCCTTCAGCCCCTTTAAGATGGGTATAAAGCATGTATTTCTTTTGTTCCCTGTACACCCCTATAGTTTGAACGAAAGCAAAAATTATGTCTATGTAATGGTGAATATAGTTATCATAGAATAACCTTATTCTTAAGCAAAAGCAAAACAAACTAAAAATTAGTATGTAAACTTAGAGAAGACTGCTTAGTAAGTGCTTGTTTTTTCTCTTTTAGATAAATGTTTTAATTCTCAGCTTAGAAAAGGAGTCATAATTTTTTATTTTACTTCATTGAAAACTTGAAATTGACTTATCATCTTGGCCTAATTTCTTATTAATATGTGTCCATAATCAAAGCAGTGCCCTAGTCAGAGCAGTTGCTACTGCTCTGGGATTGTGCCCGGAATGCTAATGTTAAATGGGGGACAAGAGAGAACTGTTGAAATTCCCTAACCTCTCAGTACAATTGGAGTGAAATAATAAGGGACGGAGAGCATCATTGATTGTTCAGGTCTTCATTATGTCATCACTGTTCATGAACTTAGGACTTGTTGGAAGCATTTGAGAATTAGAAAGTGAGAATTGTTGTCATTGTAATGAAATGTAACTCATGTTGAACATTTAATAGAAATAGGGTAATGACACAATACTTAAGTTATTTATTCAGTTGATATATGACTATTTTATTGCAGAAAATCTCAGTGGAGGTTTTCAGAATTTTGGACATTATCTTTTTTTATAATTCAACATTTAAGTATGGTTTTGTATTTGGAGAAACATTTTTTCTTCAAATTGCTGAGAACATTATCAAAAGTGTCATGGAATTACAAGGTTGAGAAACACTGCTGTATAGGTTGTGTATGCTAATAGAATGACTGATGTGTGGGGACATGTATGTAATATAACATGTTTATTCCTAAAAAGTTAACCCACACACTGAAGCAGGACTGATGTGTTACTGAGAAGAGTCAGATAATAAATGGGTGGCTACAGGAGATGTTAATATTCTGTGATGACAGATGTCTAGTTGCTTTTAAGAAAAGCTAAATAGAAAATTCAAAGCAATGATTTCATTTACTACAACTTGTGAGCAAGACTTTGAGAACTTTCCAGAAGTGTATTTGTTTAATTTAACCCAAATCTGAGGAAATTAAACATTTGTAACATTGCAAGTTATCTTTTGCAGTTGAACAGGCAAATAGTTTTGATAGTCTGTGAATGGTTGAGTTCCATGTGAACATAAGATTTTTCTTCTAACAACTCTAATTTTCAGTGAATTCCTCATTAAAGTATACTTTTTTGAGTAAAATCATCTTGTCTTTTAAAAAGATAGAATTGCTAATTTAAAATCTTTAGTTTAAAACAGTTTTTATATTTAAAACAGAAAAATATCCAGGTCTCAGCATTCTTCCTAACAATTTTTTTAAGTTTCAAGTATCAGCTTTTCTTATCCCCCAAAATTAACATGAGCTGTACAATTACCTTGCTTAAAATACTTTATAATATTATATATACAAATATATAAAGACAGTGGTTAGATATAAGTATTTTGTGTTCATTTTTTCATAGGTTTCTTGTAGTCATGGAATTATATCATGTAGTAATAAAGTCCAAGGTGATTTTACATTTGGTTTTCTTGGTATATCATAAATAATTGATTTTTGACTGGGCCATTCTTCCACCCTGCCTTTTTTTTTTTTTTACTTCTTCAGGACAGCACCCTTGTGCTCAGGATAATGGTGGCTGTTCACATATTTGTCTTGTGAAAGGAGATGGTACCACCAGGTGCTCTTGCCCTGTGCACTTGGTTCTGCTTCAAGATGAGCTCTCATGTGGAGGTAAATATGTCTTCATTTCCTTGTGCAGGTCTAAATGCCAATTAACATGTTCCATATCTTACTTAGTCTAGCATTCTGTGATTTGACAGTGAAATTGCTCTTTCTCCTAACTTGACTGGTCATTTGTATTCCGTTCATTTGCACTATGCCAGGGTTTTGGGTTATTCCAAGAATGAACCCATCATGACAGGTGGTAAGTTTAACCTAATGTTGGGACCAACGCAGAGTGCCCTTACCGGGGGAAACTCATCCTGTGAATGAGTATATTTCTTATTAATGAAATAGCTTTTCCCACCCCAGAGGGTAACAAGATGAACTAACTCTACCTCCTATAATCTCTGTCCACTGAATTCTAGATTCTGTCAGTTTTTGTATCATTATTGGGAATGTATCCAGTGAAAAGAATATTTTGTTGAAATCCGTCAGCAGTTCTGTATTGTTTTTATTTATGTAACATTTTTTAAAGGTATTAGTGTTGCAGTGAAATTGGTTCAGTCACTCATGAGATCATAGCAAATAGGCACATTGCTTTTTTTAAAGCATAATATGGTAGCATCAAACACCATAATGGTATTCATTCCCTTAATTCAGAAATCTTCCTCTTGGGGATAATTCCAAATTAATTCAGCTGAAGGAGAAAGACCATTCTCTACAGTGGCAGACATTAAAAGCAATCTAAATCTAATGATAGGAAAATTACTAATTAAAATAACTGAGTTTATACAGCTATTAAACATGGTCATGAGCTGATATAAAAATGTAGCTAAAATTTGGCTTAAGTAGCAGAAAATTATTAAAATGGTGATTTTTACTGTGATGACAGCTACATAAAATTAGTATTTCTCTGAACAAAGATTGAAAGGACCTATATACTCAAAATACAAAAATTGTTGATAAGAAGGTATTATAAGAATATTTTGTTCTTCTAACTTACCTTTAAGTTTAAAAATACAATGTACTAAGTAGCAGGTGTGATGCATTCAGCTTGGACTGCAGGAGATTTAAAGATCTTTGTGATAGAGCATACAATTTAGTTGGGGAGATCATATGTGTGCATGGTAGAAGTTAAGTTCTTGTACTTAAAGTGTCTCCCCCCTAAACAGTGTTGCACAACAGTGTGATTGTACTTAATGGCACTGATCTGTAAGTGGTTAAAATAGGAGACTTTGTTATGTATATTGTACCACAATAAAAAAAATAGCAGGAGTTTCATATAAAGAATGCAAGACTGTTACTACTACATTCAATTTGTTGTAATATGTAGTTTGGTAGATCTATATGAAGATATTTAGCCTCAAACAGATATGCAGTTAGAAAATAGGGGGCTATAATCATAGCCCTTTCAAATAATTATAGATATTCACCTTAAATTCTATTCCAAATCTTAATAAATGGCAATTTTCTATAGGTTAGCTTGCAGCATATGAAACCATTATCAGTTAACTTTTCATAATCTCTCATATTAAAATCTGTTTATCTGATTTGTGCTTTAGATGGATATTTTACCCATGCATGATTTTGTGACCTTATACCTTGGTCATTTGGAAATATTAGGATTTCTTTCAGAAATTCCTAGATCTTCAGATTTTTGACACACTTCATTATACAATGTCAATAGATGTTAATACCACCAATAATCTTTTTTTTATTAAGGTATCATTGATATACAGTCTTACGAAGGTATCACAAGAAAAACAATGTGGTTATTACATTCACCCTTATTATCAAGTCCCCCCCACCCCATTGCAGTCACTGTCCATCAGTGTAGTAAGATGCCACAGAGTCCCTATGTGTCTTCTCTGAGCTACACTGTCTTCCCCGTTATCACCAATAATCTTATCAGTAAATGTGTTAAGCCCTGAGAATCTGACAAAGCCTATGGTGCTAGATGCAGGTTTCCCAAAATTAAATGATTTCTGATTGGAACTTCTGATGTTAAAATTTGCCACAAAAGTACAATGTTATGATTTACCACTGTTTTCCTTGAGGTAACTGTCTCACTGGTTTCATATTTTTAAAAAAACTTCCTGCGAAATACCCACATGCAGATATAGTTTATCTGTCAGTTGTTTTTGCAAGTAAAATAAGTGTTCCAGTTTGGGTTGTGTTTTCCGTTGAGAAATCATCACACTTAGGTATGCAACCTGAGCTTTATGCCTACTTCCCATTTTATCAAACAATATTTAAGAGCCACATACTCAGATGATTTTAATATAATTAATATATTTACTTATGCATCAAGAACATTCTTAAATGAAATTGCCTTTTTTTTATAACTGTGAGTGTGTGCTATGCAGAATGCAATGACTACCAGTACAGTTTGGTGCCATTGCCTTGAATCTGCTAAGGTGGTAAGAGTTTTACCCATAATTCCTTTGTATCATCAATGCAAAAGTAGTGAGAAAGGCCAGTGACATCTTAGTATTATAATGAAATAGTTTTGACCTTGCAGATCCCCTGAAGAGGTCTCAGGGACTCACAGCATTTTGGGGACCACTCTTTGAGAAACTCGGAGTTAGAAAACTTATGAATTCCAGGCTATTAGAGGATAAATGATTATAGTGATTTTTCCTAGGTTATATGTGAGATTATAATGGACTGCAAATATAATAATCCTACTTGAATTACAATATATGAGGGCACTTCTGCCTTATGGTTTTGCAAGTTAGTGTATCTAAGTAGGTGTGAAGATTGTATTTTTCACTGATTAGATGAGACAATTTATAAACTTTATTTATTGTAAAGTGTTTATGTGTTGACTATGACATGAGCTTCACTCAGGTTGAAATGTTTGTACCTCTGTGTGACTGTTACTGTGTTTCTGTCACTCCTCTCCCCCTTGTTCATTTGAAGAACCTCCAACATGTTCTCCTCAGCAGTTTACTTGTTTCACTGGAGAGATTGACTGCATCCCTGTGGCTTGGCGCTGTGATGGATTCACTGAATGTGAGGACCACAGTGACGAGCTCAATTGTCCTGTATGCTCCGAATCCCAGTTCCAGTGTGCCAGTGGGCAGTGTATTGACGGTGCCCTTCGATGTAATGGCGATGCAAACTGCCAGGACAAATCAGATGAGAAGAACTGTGAAGGTACCCAGAATTCCTGGGACATGGTTATATAGTCCTTTTTCCATTAAATTGTTTGAAATACAGAGTATTGCTTTGGCTCAGTGGTAGATATGGGGTTTTTCAAGTACATTTGACTTTATTATGTCTAAACATAGTAGCATGTTCCACATTGTTGTTTTAATTCACTTAACATGCATAAGGTTTATACACATTAATAAGCTTTGCAAATTGAGAAACGAGGTCAAAAGATTAGATCTTTAATATGTAAAAATAGTCCTTGTTTCCAGTGAACTCTGATTTAGTGCATTTATTATAATGTAAAATGATTTCATGTTTTTCTCTATCCTCCATTAACCTTTAACACAGTAAAAACAAACAAACCAACAAATTCTCTAGAATTCTTCAGTATCTGGAAATGCATATAGAATTCTTTAATTCTTAACAGAATCAGAGAATAATTTTTAAGTTGTATCTAAAAGTTAATTTGTTTTTCATTTGCATCCAGAAAGCACTTTTCACACTTGCCAGAGTTTGGCTTTACATGATAGTAAAAATAAGAAAACTATTTGCATTTTTTTCTCAGTGCTTTGTTTAATTGATCAGTTCCGCTGTGCCAATGGGCAGTGCATAGGAAAACACAAGAAATGTGATCATAATGTGGATTGCAGCGACAAATCAGATGAACTGGATTGTTGTAAGTCGGACTAAAACCTTGTATATATTATTCTTACAGAAAAAAAGTGCTTTTTCCTTTTCTTAATGTGTGAAGTTCATTTATGATTAATATTTCCTTTTAAGAAACAAATATTAATGTTAAGCGGATTATTTGTACCAGGAATTTTTTTATGTTTTGCTTTTAGTAATTCTTTAAAGACAACAGTTTTCTTGAAAATGTACAAAAGTCTTCATAGAAATATTTAGTGAAATATCAGAAATGAAGGAATATGGTTTTGCCACTACGGTTAGGAAATTCTTAGTTTAGATATGGAGAAATCAATTGGTGGTCTAAACTTAAGAGTTTCTGAACATTAGTTCATGTTTAAGGTCTCCCTTTTTTTTTTCTTGACATATTTCCAACATTTCCCTCAGTGATATTAAGAGCTTCCTTAAAGTGGAGCCTGAGGATACTTGGGCCAATATGTACCCCTAGGCCTAGAGACATAGACTGAATAGCCTTTGGTTTCTTCAAGGTTCATAATTATTGACTGATGCCCTAACATAAACTACATCTCAAATTATTAAACTTAGTTCTAAATAGAATTCAGAGGTCTACCCTGTCAAAACTAGTTAAATGGAATTTAGCTAGAATTCATTTAAAAACTCTTTAATTTCAATGAAGACTTTAAGTTGGCAAAATTCAAATGAGGTACTAAGACTTCTAGAATCTATTTATTTATTCAACAAAAAGGGTACTGTACCAGGTTTCTCAAAGTCCTCTATGATTGAGGTGGAGTAGTATAAGAATAAGAATTTTAAAGCCAGGCAGAGATGGATCTGAATTCTAGTGCTGCCTCTTCACAGTACTTTATTTGTTCTTGTTAAACTGTAGTTTCTTCATCTTTAAAATGAAGATAAAATTTAGCCTTGCAATTGTGAGAAAATTTAATGATTTAATATATTTAAAACAGATCACCTGGCTCATAGTAGGTACTGTTGATAAAGAAATGTGAGTGGTACCAAATGTGCTGTTAGAGATTCATAACAAGCAGTAGCACAAAGGAGAGAGTGGCTAGATCCTTAGGAGTGAAGATGGGGTTCATCAAGGAAGACTTGTTAGGAAAATGGTGCTTCGATTGGGTGTTAACTTAAGAATAACATTAATTGTGCAGATAAGTGGAGAGATTGCATTCAAGGCAGAGAGAATATCCTGTTCAAAAGCAGAGTAAAACAGGTACCTTTGGGAAATCACATGTAAATGAAACTGCCAAAATAAAGGCTTTGTTTTGAGGGTGTCAGCAAAAGATAGCATATGTAAAGGTAAGATGGTAGAGGACTTTGCTTTTCTTCTAAAGAGCCTATTCAGTATTCCAGATTAATGTAGAGTCATTGAAAAAGTGAGGGACTTAGCATGGCTTTGTAACTGTGAAAGCTGTGAAGCAGTAGGTTAGAGGTGGTAAGATTATAGGTAAGGAAACTTTTAGTTTGGTTGCTTTCAACTTCTTTGACCACATCAAGAGATATACAAAGATGTGGTGCACACATAAAGAAGCAAAAGTGTCATACAGCAGTATTTACCCACATATATGTATAGAATGCATTCTGAAGTTTTGTTTTAAAATGCTAGTTGCAGCCCCATCTAATGACTTTCAATCTGTAATTGTAAAATGCTTAGGAGACTGTTATGGTTCAGGCATAAGATGATGAAGATCTAAATGAAGAGAAGTATTAGAGGTAGAAGGGAGGACTTTGGAGTTATTTCAGAAATAGAATAAAAAGGGTTTGGTGACCACTTAGATATAGTTGATAAGTTTAGGTTGGTTCACAGGTACCTCACTGAGTGACTGGAGTTGTTAACTAGAATGTACAGCAGAGACTGAAAACTGAAGTACCATTCCATATCTTGGCCACAGATGTAATGTTTGGCTGATGTATGTTTTTTATTAATTTATTTTTGTTTTTCATTTAAGTGCCTTTAATTTGTCACATGTGTCGCCATTTGTATATGATTTGCTTACTCCTGGAATCTGGAAAACATGACAGATGATGGTGATGATGAGTTCAGTGTGGATATGCTGCATTAAAGTTGCTCATGGCATATCCCACCGAAGCTGTTCGGGAAGTTGTTGATGACTATATGGGTCTAGCTCAAGAAGAGACGTGGGCTGTTCAGTTTATTAATAGACATTAAAGCTGAGGCAGCGGGTGAAATCTCTCAGGATAAGTAAGTAGAGGAGGAAAGTAGCAGAAGGTAGACAGGACTGGGAATCACCTGCACTTAAGAGACAGACACAGGAGAATGAAGCCAGCAAAAGGAAACAATAATCAGAGAGAGTAAACCTAAGAGAGTGGTATCTTGGAAGGATATTGATCAGACATTTTTGAGAAGAAAACAAGAGTCAGCAGTACTGGATGTGTAGACAGGTCAGTGAGATGAGAAGTTTATTGAATATGGCAAATAGGAGAACTTTGACCTTTTCCAGAATAGACTAGTTTCATAGTGCTGGTGAGGACAGAAGCCTACTTTCAGTGAGTTAAGATGTGACCCAGAGGCAGAATTGGGAGACAGTGAGTGTAAACTATTCTTTTTTCTTGTTGTTGTTATATATATATACATACACACACATATATATAATTAAAGTATCATTAATATACAATGTTATGGTGTTTTCAAATGTACATCACAGTGATTCAACATTCCCCATTATCCTCTTATACTGTGATTGCGAATTATTGTGGCCCTTAATCCTCCTTGTCCCCACCAACCTGCCCCAGCCCCTCCTGCTTGGTAACCACTAGTCACTTCTCAGTGTCTTATGTGTCTACTGCTGTTTTGTTCCTTCTGTTTTGCTTGGTTTTTATATTTCACAAATAAGTGAAATCATGCGGTGTTTGTCTTTCTCTGCCTGGCTTAATTCACTGAACATAATACCCTCTAGATCCATCCATATGGTTGCAAATGGCACAATTTCTTTTCTTTTTATGGCTAAATAATAACAATATCCATTGTGTATATATACCCCATCTTCTTTATCAGTACATCTATTGATGGACACTTAGGTTGCTTCCATATCTTGGCTATTGTTATTAATGCAGTGATAAACATAGGGATGCATATATCTTTTTGAATCAGGGACCTTTTCTTTGGTAAATTCCTAGGAGTGGAATTCCTGGGTAAAATGGTATTTCTATTTTTAGTTTTTTGCTTTCCACAATGCATACTGCTTTCCACAATGGTTAAACTAATTTACATTCCTACCAGCAGTGTAGGAGGGCTCCCCTTTCTGTGCATCCTCACCAGCATTTGTTGTTTCTCATCTTTGGGATGTTGGCCTTCCTAACTGGTGTGAGGTGGTATCTCATTGTGGTTTTCATTTGCATTTCTCTGATAATTAGCAATGTGGGGCATCTTTTCATGTGCCTGTTGGCCATTCAGTTGTCTTCCTTGGAGAAGTGTCTGTTCAGGTCCCCTGCTCATTTTTTAATCAGGTTATTTGTTTTTTGGGTGTGTTGAGGTGTGTGAGTTCTTTATATAATTGGGGTATTAACCCCATATTGGATGAGTCATTTACTAATATACTCTCCCATACTGCAGGATGCCTTTTTGTTTTGCTGATGGTGTCCTTTGCTGTACAGAAGCTTTTTAGTTTGATGTAGTCCCACTTGTTCATTTTTTATTTTGATTCCCTTGCCTGAGGAGATCTGTGCAGGAAGAGGTTGCTCATGTTTATATTCAAGATATTTTTGCCTATGTTTTCTTCTAAGAGTTTTATGGTTTATGACTTACATTCAGGTCTTTGATACATTTTGAGTTTACTTTTGAGTGTGGAGTTAGACACTAATCCAGTTTCATTCTCTTACTTGTAGCTGTCCAGTTTTGCCAACACCAGTTATTGAAGAGGCTGTCATTTCCCCATTGTATATCTATGGCTCCTTTATCATAATTAATTGGCCATACATGTGTGAGTTTATATCTGGGCTCTCTATTCTGTTCCATTGATCTATGGTTCTTCTGCCAGGACCAAATTGTTTTGGTTACTGTAGCTTTGTAGTAGAGCTGGAAGTCAGGAGCGTAAACCCCCCAGTTTTGTTCTTCTTTCTCAGGATTGCTCTGGCTATTCAGAGTCTTTTCTGTGGTTCCACAGGAATTTTAGAACTATTTGTTTTAGTTCATTGAAGAATGCTACTGGTATTTTGATAGGGATTGCATTGAATCTGTAGATTGCTTTAGGCAGGATGGCCATTTTGACAGTATTCTTCATGAGCATGGGATTGATCTCCATTTATTGCTGTCTTCTTTAATTTCTCTCATGAAATTTTTCAGAGTATAGGTCTTTCACCTTCTTGGTTAGTAAACTATTCTTTCTTAAAGCTTGGCATGAGAAAGAATGCCAAGGTACTAAAAAGGACTAAGAAAGATTGGATGGCTGCTCACAAGGACTAAGCAGAGTCTGTAACCCAAGAGTTCATAGGGTAACTATGTAATGTGCAGCCTGTACGTGTTATGTAACTCAGTGATGTCATTTTCTATCATTTCCTTCATTTAACCTATAAAAGAACGAGTTTAGCTCTGTGGATGAGAGATTTGAGGATAGAAGCAAAAGAAAGGTTTTCGAAGGATCTTCAATTGTGAGAGACAGCCTGACTATTCAGAATAGAAGAAATTTTCCTTCTAAAAAGAAGAGTAATGCTTTAAATTTGATGAGCCCTTTTGCTGTACCTCTTTACCAGTAATGTCGATGCCCTCTGCTTCTGAAGCCTCAGCGCTCAGGGGACCTGTAAAGTGGACGTCAGGTGAGGGTCGTCTGGTGCTTTCCTGCTCTGGCCTTTCTTTTTGAGTCTTCAAGCATCAGAGACTTATCTTCCTGGCTCTCTGGCAACCAGACTTACCCTGAAGGCAGCGTCATACTGGGCCTGAGGGCTGAGGCTCATCTTCAGCTTCTAACCTCCTTTCCCAGGCCTAAGTGTCTCTTTTCAAACCTAAAATCATCCTCACGGCTGCTTTTGGCTTCTTCACCATTCCAGGTAAAACATGTGGTAACTTTTCTAGGTTCATCCCTTCTGGCCCTAAAATTTCTTTCAAATTCCAAATAAACTTCTTGATTTTCATGAATCAACAGAATGAAGTAGGATAAATTTTATCTGTACGTCTTAATGGCGTTTAAATCTGTAATAACATCTTTTTTTCGTATCAGTTTACAGTTATACAGCTGGCCCTTGAACAACATGGGTTTGCATTCCATGAGTCCATTTCCACATGGATTTTTTTTTTTTTCCAGTAAATATATTGGGAGATTTTGTGGAGATTGGTGACAATTTGAAAAAACATTTTCTTTTCCCTAGCTTACTTTATTGTAAGAATATGCTATATAATACATATAACATAAAAATATGTGTTTATAATAGACTATTTATGTCATTGGAAGGCTTCCAGTCAACAGTAGGCTAGTAGTAATTAAATTTGTGAAGAGTCAACTTTACATGCAAATTTGCAACTGCATGGGTCGGCACACCTAACCACTGCGTTGTTAAAGAGTCAACTGTACTTCCCAGTGTATTTTTTTCTGTCTTAACTTGAGGATGGTTCCTTTTGATTTCTAACAATGACTTTTATCCATACATATTGCATACATATTCATAAAAAAGAAAAATATGTATCATTTGTGTTCATTAGCTTCATATCTGCTTACAAGCCTTCTGTTTGACTGCTATTTTGAGCCTACAGTTGGTTTTTCATTGTATAACTGTACTGCATTCCTTTTAGATCCAACTGAGGAACCAGCCCCACAGGCCACCAATACAGTTGGTTCAGTTATTGGAGTGATTGTCACCATTTTTGTATCCGGAACCATATACTTTATCTGCCAGAGGATGTTGTGTCCACGCATGAAGGGAGATGGGGAAACCATGACTAATGACTATGTAGTTCATGGACCAGCTTCTGTGCCGCTTGGTTATGTGCCACACCCCAGTTCTTTATCAGGGTCTCTTCCAGGTGAGTGGGGGCTGATCTGTTGAGAATTAAGTCTTGGTTCCTGGCAGGATTACCAAGTTCCCCGTATGGAAAAAGAATACTTTCTAAAGTCTGTGTCAAACTAGACCACTTGAGGTTTAAAAAAATTAGAAGAACAAATCTTCTCTTTTACTTTAAAAAGGCACTTTCTCTTTACCCAGAAGACCTTAGGTGTGGTTTGGTAGAAATTGCCAGAGGATATAAAGCAAATACATTTAACATGCATTTGTATATACCACACTTAGTGTATATGCTGCATTTCTGGAGGTGCTTGACCAGCTAGTCATTTGGTGAAGAGGGTCATAAACCACAGGTTCTTCAGGTTCACTACCAGAGAACCTCAGTACTACTGAGCCCCGGGATTGAAGGAGGCCAAAAGGTTAAGATTCCTTTCCAGCACACAAAGATGTGGAATAGCTGAGTGATAGCCGGGAGGGAAGTACTATGTTTTCTCGTAACTTTAGGTGATGCCTGTGGGACTAAGGCCAGAAGTACTTGGTAGCCCATGTGGCTGCAGGGACGTACAGCTCTCCTTTTCAGCACTTTCTCATGCCTTTAGTGGGAAGAGGCCTTTCTTCTAATGAATCTGTAGAAGGAGGTGCCAGGCAAAGGCCCCCTGAAAGTAAAAACTTATTCTGAGTGTAACAGATGCAATTTTTAAAGGGCTAATGATAATGATTCTTTGGTGTAATGTCTATTTTTAGCTAGCGAAATTTGGGGAGTCTCTTTGAAAAACAAGAATTTCTGCTTTAGCATTTGTGGTGGTGGTTTCAACACCTGCATCCAGTAGATGAATAAATAATCTTCCATATGTTGTATATATGCTTTTAAAAATAGATTTAGTTACCTTTTGAGCAAATCTGTTCTTTCGTCTACCCTGCTTCTTCACTTTCCACAATCCTTTGCTGCTCAAATCCTCTAGGAGGTTGAAAACCTCTCATTTTGAAGAGGTCTTTTTCCATCCTGGGGAGGAAATTGGTGGGGCTGTTCCCTTGCTCTAGGCCATCTCTCAGTGGAAATGTTCACATCTAGAGAATATTAATTTCCCTTCTCCATTAAGTGTTTTCCATTATTATTAGGAAAGGAGTGCATAAATTGTTATAAAATCAAACTATTTGACTATATTTGTTATCCTGGTATTGAATTAAGTTGTTTCTTGCATTTTCATGTATCTTACTCATCTCAGCATTTATCCTCCTTCATTTTAGGAATGTCTCGAGGTAAATCAATGATCAGCTCCCTCAGTATCATGGGGGGAAGCAGTGGACCCCCTTACGACCGTGCTCATGTCACAGGAGCATCATCAAGCAGTTCTTCCAGCACTAAAGGCACTTACTTCCCTGCTGTAAGCAGCTCTTTTCCTGTTTCAGCTGAATGCTAAGATAACTAGGATCTTAGATCTTAACTCATGTACAATGTGAGGACTCAGCAATGGTAAAGTAAAAAGTTTTTTAGTGTAGAATTTAGGCCTCAGGCATGTAAGGTCCAAAGAAGGCTTTTTACCCCCATGCAAACATCTATAGATCTGTAAGTTTCCTATTCAATGACCAGCACATGTGAAAGCAATGGACAGCAATTTCGTATTTCAGGTAAAAGTAGAGCTGCTGAGTGGCACCCCTGAGGGGCTTGGGGCCTTCCAAGAGAGGAGACACACCTGCTTTTTCTCCAGAGTCAGTAATTTTTCTCTAAACATTTCTAATTAAAAGAAATCATGACCCAGCCATACTGAACTGACACCAGTGACTTGTAAATTATAGATTTCCTTCTCATCGTCTTGCACTGTCCAGCTGTGATGAAATTATCTTAGGGGATGGAGAGCCACAATCTGGAAGTTACTGTGTGAGGTCAGCTCTTGGGAAAAGGGTTGTGCTAATAGTGTGATGAAAAGGAATCTGAACAGAGATGACGGAAGAGAAGTTGAAAGACAGTCTCAAAGGCTCTGTCTGGAGTAGACTGTTGTTACTTTAATAACTTCATTATTTTTCCATTTAGATTTTGAACCCTCCACCATCCCCAGCCACGGAGCGATCACATTACACTATGGAATTTGGTTATTCTTCAAACAGTCCTTCCACACAGAGGTCCTACAGGTAATATGCATCATCCTTTAATATAAGTCAAAGTGTCTATCAGAAGAAAGAAGTACTCCAGTTGTGGGTTTGGTGTAGCCCCGAGGGAGTAGATGGCAGCCACCAAGAGAGGACAGGCATCTTGTCTTGATAGTGCTGACATTGCCCCTGCCCCAACTTCTTGTCTTTGAGGGCATTGTACATTTTCTTAGTGTCCCCCATGCTGGCTTTTAGAGTGACAGAAGAGCTCCCATGCTTTGGCAGTATTCTCAGGAAGGTTACCCACCAAAGTGACTGACTGCAGAGTAGGTCCTGTGCAGGTTAGGTTTGGTTGATAGTTTAAGAGGAATATTGGGTAAGACTGGTTCAGAGTAGGTGAGCTCTAAAAGAGCAGGAATATTCAGCACAGCATCTGAGACATGTTGAGAGAAGCTTAAGTTCAGCCTTTGCTTATATACGTTATTACGATCTGGAATAAAAGATTTCTCCTAGTTGGATGGAATAAATCATGACTCCTTCAAATAAATGAAATGTATTTGTAAGTCCCAAAGGGGAAAATTCTGCCTTCATGCTGATTTTTTCTGTCCGTAGAACATATCGAGCAGGTTCAGTACTAGTGTGTTACCCACCTGTTCTCTTCCATCCTGTTGGAGAGGTCAGCCGAGTGTCAACAGCTTTATTTTCTGTGTCTGAACACTGAGTGCCCCGGCGTTACTGGATCTTTCAAGTGCCTGTCACCTTCTAGATGAGGCGTTTCCCAGCATTCCTGTCAAATTACCCTGATCTGACCTTGTAGGTGTATAGAAATCAAGTAGACTGTTCACAGTGTATTTATTATTCACAATTTTCACTTCAGTTTATAGATTAAGATGGTTTGAAGTAGGCTTGACTCTAATATTTTTATGTCTTATTGTAAATGTTGTTTTTTTCCCCCTCTACTACAGGTTTGTTCTAAAAAGCCAAAATAAAATGGCAAAACCTGACAACAGGAGAAGAGGGAGGACCTAAAATTTAATTTTTAAAAATAATATTTTTTAATTGACTCAAACACTGATTAAATAAATAATTGCATCAAAATTAATTCTTATTTGACCATTTCCTGTGTCTCCCAGTTATGCCCTGTTTGTTTCTTGAGTCAAACTTGATACGATTTGTTGAGATTTTTGTCAGAACTGGAACTTAAAAGTATTTTGCTAATACTATTTCCTTTCCTTCCTATTTTTGTCTCATTTTTCCACGAAAATGGAATTGTTATGACTTTTAAATGTTAAGCCAGGAAATTTCAGCAAGGCCCAACACCTGATTGGACTGAAAGATAAGACCTAAAAAAATATTGACATCATGTCAATAGTAGTAGTATAAACACTTGAGAACCTGCTCAGCAGGTCATGTAACTTTTGCTCTTCCTCTGAGCAGCCATTTCTTTGAGGCAATCCCTAAGTGACATCAAATGGTTTGTATCCTGGGATGTTACCTTGTGGCATTCTGTGTCACTAGGTATTTTATGAATCAATACTACAGTTTTCATGTGCTCTTCTCTACTGCAGTGAATTTGATGAGAAAGCATATAAATTAATCTTGAAATAAATAAATAAAGCTATAAAATAAATCAACATCACTGTATTTAGGATGTAAAAGGCATAAGAAGTTACAGATAGAAGTAGAAATAATAGAAAGCCAGCCCTCAAAGCCAGTTCTTATTTTCATTAGTGTGTCCTATTTTCATTGCCTTTTCTTTAGTTAGCCATGCTCCAAACTTGACCAACAGCTGAGATTCCTTAAAAAGGTTGATAAACAAGTGTAAGAAATAAATCAGTTCCCTGAAACACGTATTAGAAAACTCACTGGTTCTAAATGGGTATCATTTTGGTGCTCACTTAAAGCCACTGCAGTGACAGTGTGCTTGTGTGCATGCTGGGAATCACACTTTCCCCCAAATCATGGCAGTTTCCCTGCTGATGGTAACAGTGCGAGAATGTGTACGCCCCTTAGGCTGTCTTCCAGAATTCATCCTGACTTGTACAGCATGTGAGTTTTAAAGATGGAGTGAAGTCTCCAGGCAGCATTAAGTCATTCTTTGGGTAAATACAGAGCACTCAGAGGGCACTGTGGGAATGCAAACATGAGCAGTGCAAAACGCGTGAAGACCATTCTCGCAAACCACAGAATGGCAGAAGCTGGAGAACTCCACTGCCCGGACTAAATGCAGAATGTGTGACTGAGAGATTTTCCAAAGATGACCATTGAATGCAGCTTTAAATAGTTGGTCCTTTTTTATTCCGTGTTGCAGTGTGACTTAAGGTTAAGAGCACATCCAGAGGCTAGACTGACTTCATGTCTGCATTCCCATCCTCCCCATTTTTAATTGCCTCTAATCACATTTTATTTCCAAATATAAAATACATGCTAACTTCCTCCTCCCAGTCTGCCGTTGGAAATTGACTCTTGGTCTGTGCAAATTTAAACTGTAGTAGCTTACTTGTTCAAAGTGAAGTCTAAAGCCTCTGTATTACCTCTTTTCTATAAACGAACTAAGTCTGCTTTTCTTGGTTTCCTCCCTGTACTAGCTACAGGCCATACAGTTACCGGCACTTTGCTCCCCCCACCACACCCTGCAGCACAGACGTTTGTGACAGTGACTATGCGCCCAGCCGGAGAGTGACCTCTGGGGCCACAGCCAAGGGCTACACTAGTGACTTGAATTACGACTCAGAGCCTGTGCCCCCACCTCCCACACCTCGAAGCCAGTACCTGTCAGCAGAAGAAAACTATGAAAGCTGCCCACCTTCTCCGTACACAGAAAGGAGCTACTCTCACCACCTCTACCCACCGCCCCCGTCCCCCTGCACAGACTCCTCCTGAGGAGGGGCCCTCCTCCTCTGACTGCCTCCGAAGCCAAGATGTAAATACACATGTGGTTGAGATCTGGAGGGGGGGAGGGAGCTCTTAGAGAAGGATGAGGCAGACCATGTACAGTTAAAAACTATAAACGGGGGAGGGAATACTGGAGATATTTGTACAGAAGAAAAGGATATTTATATATTTTCTTAAATTAGCAGATTTGCTGCTTGTGCCATAAAAATTTGTATAAAAAGTAAATTTGTACTAAATGTTTTATTTTTGCAAACTGAATACACAAAGCATGCCTTAAACCCAGTGAAGTGACTGAGTACAAAGGAAACAGGAATAATAAAGGCATCACTGACCAGGAATGTCTGGGCTTTTACCGATACCAAAAAAAAAAAGAAGAAGAAGAAAGAAAAAATGAAGTCCATCTCAGAGCAGCAAACCATAGATACTTGGAAGTTTTGAGGGCCAACAAGGTTAAGAAATCATGAAAGGAAAAAAAGGAATTAATACTAACTTTGGACAAAGGGCTTTGTTTTCTCTAGGAATCCAGCAATTTTATTGAGGAAAATAGATACTTAGAAAAATCCATTCTGTGCGTTGCTGCCGTAGGAGAGATCAGCTGTCTGGTAAGATGCCATGGGGCTGTTTGTGTGTGCAAGTCTTCTGTCCCTACCTTAAAGCCCACACCTCTGTCAAAAACTAGTTTTTTCTCTAGTATTTTCTCCTTGCTTCCTCTGCCAGCAGCTTTGTAGGCCATTTTGCCAATATATCATGATTTATTCAAAGGTTTTTGTCTGAGGATTGGTTAAATGGAGTTTTCTAAATTAAGGCTTCCTTTTAATAATTTCTGTTAGCTCCATTCTCCTGTAGGCTTAGCTCTTCAATTTGACAGCTATTTTTGCATAATGATGAAAGACTAGACATATTATATTGCTCCTCTGTATTTCCAAGATTGTTTTAATGCTCATTAAAATGCCTTTTTACAATACATATAGACAACGTTTAAGAATTACAAATTTAACCATTATTTTTCTGTTGTAAATTAATCGTATATCCTTGCAGTACTTTCAGCATATATAATACCACAATATGAAATCATTTTTATGTATATTTTTCCTAGTAAAACATATAAATATGCTCTGGTTAGAGATAGTCTATTTAAAAAGAGAATTTTTTGTTATCATTAAGTTTTTCCCTTTATTAACTGTTCATGACACTTTCATGTTCTTCAGGCCAATTTTTCCTGGAGTGACGTCTACATGCATACCTCTTAATTTGTGACATGAGTGTAATATCTTTGTTACCTAATGTGAATATCTGATTGTTTTCAAATTATCTACAAATTATTCTTATAATCCATCACTTACATATTTTTATGTGTGTTCTCTCTTATCACATTATGGATCAAGATGATTTAACAACATGAATTAAGGGAGAAGGCAAATTGTAACCTTCTTAGCTGTCAGACCGTGGGTGGAGGGGAACAATGGAGGCTCTTAGGGACCAGCCTGCCCTGCATGGTCCTGGGGCTGCCGCACCTTCAGCTTTCGGGTTGACCTATGGGATGATTCAAGCACTGCTCTGCCACCTTGCCAGAAATTAGTTCCCTGCTTTTTACATGTTTCTAGCAATTCTCTGCTAAAATTGGATGTTTTTTTTTTAAGCTAATGTATTTTTTTTACCCTAACAAATGTTGGTCAATTAGTGAATTTACTTTTATTTTTTATTTATTTTTATTTTTTTTGCTGAGGCCTCTGGATTTCAGAGCCCAAGAGAAAACGTCAGAAGAAAGGATTCAGAATTTTGGCAGGGGCAAAGTCATTTTTAATGCAATTTAAAAATACCTAAGTAAACTTTTTAAAGGGAGAAATGTGGTTTCAGAATAATGCTTAGATTGTTGGTGATACCTTGTGTGAATCAGGAGATTCTGCCTGTAAGTACACGGTGATCCATCGGTGTCTTGCATTTCAGTCAGACAAGCGTTAACGCTTCCTGTTGATGGAACAAAGTGCTCACAGTGGAACAGAATGGACACTGAAGTTGCATTCTGTGACTTACAGGGGCGCTTGATGCTTAAATGAAGATGGAAAAGTTAGCAATAACTGGGTATCAATTAGAATCTGAGAATTCTGTATGTTTACATTTTTTAAAGTACATCTGTATTTGGTGGGCTTCCCATGTGGAAACTTGCACTATAATGAACTAAGAAGAATATATTGCCTTGTTATATCTCAGTCCAAGTGCTTGTACTGCGATGGCAATGGCCTCTTCTTGCAGAATACTAATTTGTGTGCCAATTTGTTTGAAATTATTTGAAGGCAGTTCAGCTTAATCTCTGAATCCTCTTTTTGGGGGTAGTTGAGATGGATTCTTAATGTTTGGGGAGTATACCTTTAAATGAAAGAATTATCAAAATTCAGGAAAAATTTATTGGCTCTCAGTATGGACAGTTAAGCTTAAGTGAACTATCTTAATTATTAAACATAAGAGCTTTAAATTTAAAAAACGGGGGATAAAAAATAAACCTCTCGGAACACAAATTAGAGAAAAAAGTATTTCGGTTTGTTGTATTACTAGATTCATTATCCATGGGGGGAAAATGAATAAAATTTCATTAGATTCCTTAAGTACAAAAGTATTTATTTTGAACATATGTCTTAAAGAATGCCCACTTAACTGATGTGATTCAAATTACCTGAGAAATGAACTTTATAGTAGAGAATGCCTTCTGTGAACTGTAGTAAGCTACTCTGCATTGAAGTGGTCTTTTATAGCTGAGTTTTGTAACTCTGAAGTTCACTGTTATAACTTTGAATTTGGCTCCTGCAGAGCCCTGGTCTTCCAAACAGTGGCCCAATGGGTTTTGCTATTTAAATCAAATAAAGGAATAATTATAAGAAAAAAACGGAGTTTAAGGGATATAATTTTGTCAGTATTAATTTTTCTTCCATGAAATTTTTTTATTCCTTTGACACCAGATGCCACTCTTCTGTACTAAGTATCTTATGACATGTCTGTTTAGCAGAAAAATCATTTAAATTTTAATATAAAAGTACTTTGTGATATGCCACCGAGAGATAGCTGATCCTTTAATAAGTTTGGAAACAGCTATTCTAAAGGGATGATGTATATTTAGAAATGAAGACATCACAGTACATTTCATCTAATATAGACCAATAATTTTTAGGGTGATAGGATTTTGAGCAGTAAAATTATAGGATGATTGAGGATTATATTTGTTGATCACCTAAAAATACTTTGAAGTCAATAATTTGTATAAGCCAACTCAATTGACAGTGAGATATAAAAATAAGCCACCATCCATATTAGGTAGCAGTTAATCTTTGGGGAAAATATTTTTGCTTTGCTGTAAAGGCCCAGCAATGAATAATTTCTAGTTAGAGTTAGCACACTGTGTATATTTAGGTGATCTAACACCAGCCCTCATAATGGAGACTGTTTACTTCTGGTCCGGAGAAGCTTGCGAGCCTCCTTCTCTGCCATAGTGGTGCTGCTGCTTTTTTCCTGTCTAATCCTATGTCTTGAGTAGATTCTTAGAAATGTAGTTTTAAAAATTGTTTTATTTCTAGCAGGAGAAAATTCTCCACTTACTGATTTGCATGCTGTAAGAGCTGCAAATTGGTTACCATTACATATCTAACAAAACCCAAAAACAAAACTTTTGGGCTTTTCACATCCCAAATATATCTTGCAGTGCATAAAGTCTGTATGATGCCATCCATAGTGTTTGGAGTCTGATACACGTCTGTGAGTGTCAGCTGGCTGACAAATGTTTGGGCCTCCACAGATGAGACTGTCAGTGAGTGCAGACATGGACTGTCATAAAGTTCACAGTCAAGTGTATTTAAAACATGTTCTCAGAATTCTTAAACTCAAGAGATTTAAATGTATTTGGTATTCCTTTATCCCAAGCCTAAAGTGAGCCAAGAGAAATAACAGATGATTTTAGAAGGTACTGTTAGCATATGTGTGGTTTCTGACCTTTAGGATGGCATCATTTCCTAAGAGTCTCAAAATTTAGCTTTTAAAATTCTCAAAGTTCTGGAGAACTTTGGACCTAAACATAACATTTTGATTTATAATTTTAAAAATTTAAATTATGAGCATTATGACTCCATATACTCAGGATTTTTCTGTTTGGCTTGATTATACATCTCATTAAACTAATCCTGCACCTGAGTGGAGGGAGGGTAGATTCTTAGGTTAATCTAGATGAGTTAGAATAAAATTGTGTCCTCCTTCAGTCCAGGTAAATCTTACTGTTTCTCTTTTGTATAAGACATTCTTAAGCTGTTCCTAAGTTTACTGCTGAAAAAAATTCTCATGACTTCACACAGAATTCAAACTATGTGATTTCTTAGACTCAGAAGTAGAGTATAGACCTAAAAAAAAACTTTCAGATTTTCCATGATTACTTAGGGTTTGCCCAAAGCTAACACCAAAGAATCACAGACAACTTTTGCTTAACTGTCCAATTTTTTTAACTCAGATATAAGCAGAACAGGTGGTTACACACACACACATCCCTGCCCTGTTTATATTTGATTTTATAAAATGAATATTACATGTGAATATTAAAAGGAAAGTACAACAAAAACAGGAGTCTGATTAAATTTAATGTTACATGAAATTAATATCTGGGGTTAGTAGGAAGATTTTTAAAATGAAGAGGATACCAAGAAGCTTAAGCTGGACTAGCCTCATTTGCAAGTGAAGGATCTGGTGCTGCTTTCAGAAGTTTATCCTTTGTGTTTTTTAATTTTTTCTTAAGCTTTAATCTTCGTTATTGTCTTAAAGTCAGCTGGTGTTTCTTGTTCATGGACTTTGGTACGATGGTGCTTTGCAAGGATGTATTTATATTTTAATGGCCAACATTTGGTCAGTCCTGGTCCACTATTCAGTTCTCTCTTTTTGTAAAATAAGTGCTTTAATTGTAAACTGTATACAAATACCTTGTATAAATCCTTTTTGATTATTACAGTAAGCCGAGTTGTAACATATGAAATGTTGATTTTTATAATAAAACAGTGGAAAATAAGTGTTGTTTCTTTTCAGCAAGAAATTAAACAGCTGATTGTTCTTTGCTGTGATACATAGTGGTCGTCTCAAACACAACAAAACCCACCTTTACTGTTTGCATTTCAAATAAAATACAACCTTGGAAGAGAACTTTTTTTTTTTTAATATAAATGTTATTTTAATGATCGGGTTACTTTTGGACAGTCTTGGACCTTGCGCATGCCTTGTAATCTCGGAAGCCCCTGTCCCGGGCCTCTCGACAATCTAGGTGTCTTTGTCTGAGCCTTCTGATAAGCTAGGTGTTCTTGACTATGGAACTGGGAACAAAGGAGGGCTTAGAGGTTGACTAGGGAGGAGTGTTCCTTGGTGTTGGGCTGGTCCTTTCTCCTGCTTATGTCTAACTGCCTACTCTAACATTCCCCCCCACAGGACTCCGACTCTGAAATTTTTTGGATAAGGGTGATGAGTCAACGTCTGGTACTGCTTCCTGCTGAGAAGGGGCCAGGCTGTCCTCAGAGTCCAGAGCCCTCGCCGTCTGTCAGGAGTGGGAGGTGACCCTGGCATCACAGGGGCAGCCACTTCCAGAGAGCCAACCAGCTGTATCTAGTGAGGATTCAGGCATAGCTGTGTCAGTAGAAATTAGTTAATATCTTTGTCAGATGACCATTTGAACGTATACTGCCTCTACATGAGAAGAGACAAATTTGGTTAGGAGGTTTAAGAGAGAGGGCCCAAAGAGGAGGAGAGGGAAAATAGAGACCAAAGGTCCCATGGAGGGCAGGAGCTAGGAGAGTCATCCCTGGGGGGCCTGTTCTCAGAGTTGGGAAGCCTTTCTGGAAATTTTGGATATCCTGTTGGACCTGGGACTTGGCTTGTGTGGTTTACCTAAAAGCACTGTTCTTTAAGTGAGGCATAGAGGTCTCCCTGTGCTGAAGTCAGGACAGCTAGGCCCCTTTGGTTTGGGAGGACAGTCATTGCCCTGGAATTGAGCTGGTTCTGTGAGCGGTCTGGAGCTGGCGCCATCCGGGTGTTTCGGTGGAGACGGGAATACACTTGTGAGGCAGTGACTGCACCCATAGTGCCAGCAGCTGCCCCTGCTGCAATTCCCAACGTGACCAGTGGAGGAATAGGGCTGGGATTTTGCCTAAGTTTTAAGTTAAACTGAGGGTGACAGGGCATGTGTGAGTAAGGAAATGGGAGTTTCAGGAGGGGCTGCGTTAATTTTTGGAATCACATAAGCTAGGGTGCAGATGCCTTGTGCAGTTGCAGGGAGGCAAAGGTAGGCACTCGTCTGCTGCGGAAACAGCCCCAGAGTGCGAGAAAGGCACCAGGCTAAGAATTTTTAGGGTGTATGTAGAAGCTTCAGGGCTCCCTAACAGTGGAAGAGAAGGGATGGCCAGTGAAGGCAGGCAGCAGCTGCAGATGGAAGGTGAGACTGAGGAGAGAGAGAACAAGCTTTATAAAACTCATGGCTCACCGATCTTCCATGATGAACACAGAAGACCTTTCAGGCAACTTAATTCCTTTAGTTTTTTTAAACTTCACTTTCTTACCTGGTTGCTCTATTTTAAAACAAAATCTTACTTTTCTTTTTTCTTTACTTTTGGCCACACAAGACTCTTTGAAATTAAAAAAAAAATGGTTTCCTCTATTTAATTTTAGCCCTTAGCAAAGGCCCAGATGAGGAGCTCACTGATGTTAAGATCCCCTAAGGCTGGGAGGGCATCGCTTGCCTGTTTTCTTGAAGATACCTTAGCTCTTCCACAGGCTCACAGCTCAGGAGGGTGGTGGTGGATCTCTGTCTCTGGGTTTTGTCTCAGAGGTGTAGGGCTTGACTCGGGAGTGATGGATCCTGTTGGAGATCCCAGACACCATAAAGGCTGACCTCCTGGTTGGTAGAGAACTGACTGACGGTGATTCTCTGTCCCAGGTAGCACCTTGTGCCCAAATGTCCTCAGCTTGTTGAAATGATCTGGGAGCAACGATCCAAGTCATGGCACCAGAATGTTACAGTGGAATTCGTTGATTCCGATTCTTCTCAGAGAATTCAGTTGAGAGACCAGACAGCAAGGAAAAGCAGCAAGGACTTTACTGGGTTAAAGCAAAAAGAACACTTGAGACAGGAGAGTGGGCTGTCAAAACCAGAAGCGGTTGGAAGAGAGCTTTGAGAAGGGCTGCTGCTTGGTTCAGTGCTGACAAGCCCTGTGATTGGGAACAGAGAATAAGGGAAATGTTGCTTCAGGACTGTGCTTGTTTTAGTAAATTACTGGAGGGGGCCCTGGTGTGGACTCTCAGTTCCTCCCTTTTCTCCAGATTAGCTTTAAAAATGAACATTGTTTTTACTGGAGCAGAGCCCACTCTGGGCGGGATGGTCCTAAAGGGGGTGGCAGAATATGCTGCTTTGGCATCTTGGTCATTTTGAGCTGTAGTCACTTAAAAAACAGCAGATGCAGAGAGAAGCTTTCTCTGAGCTTCCCCTACCTGCATAAAGGCAGATCCTGCAGAAGGAATACTGGTCATAAATATGAATCCCCTCCCTGGGGGTTTCAGCAGCCAAGGAAGATGGTTGCTTGCAGGAGAGGGGACACCACAGCTAGACAAACTTTCACAAGTGGAAACACCTCCTGTCTCTTCTTCTAAGGGCCTGTTCGTCCTTCCTAATAATCATTTCCTCTGCCCTAAGAGGCCTACATCCTCCCTTCCCTTCCCCTGGTAAGATGGTATTGAAGTCTGAATTCTAAGTAACTGAGGAGTTACTCATTTTTCCCTGGGTGTCTCCCATATATACATGAAGTACACATATTAACACACCTCTGTTTCTTGTTCTTCTTGTTAATCTGTCTTATTACAGGGGTCTCCTCTAAGAACTCAGGAAGGTAGAGAGAAAATTATTTTCCTCCCCTACATTTTCGACAAGGATATACCAAGAACTCAAAACTACGAACTTGAGTCTAAGTTTCCTGGTTTGATGGGAGGAGAGGAAAGCTGCTTTTATATTTGGCAGTAGTTGAGCCCAAACATCAGGTGGTTGAACGGAACACGATTTCGTGTAAAGGTCTTTTTGGCAGATGAGCTTGAGTGAGTTTACCTTGGCTTCTTGAGTGACCCTCCCATTCTTTCCTCTTGAGGGAAAACAAAAATCAAGTAAGTCGTGCTGTTCCCAGGCGGGTCAAGGAAAGGCAAGGCAGAACTGTGCTCGGTCTCCCTGATTTAAAAGCAGGCTCAGGAATGGGAAGAACAGTGCAGGTTGTTTTGGGAAGTTTATACAGTCTTTCTCACTTTGTTTGCTTTGTAAATGATTACATTATTGCTGTAAATTTGAGTCAAAGGAGGACTTAACTTGGTGGGATTCAGGACAGGCTACCTCAAAATATGACACCTTGGCTTATTGAGTATTTTAGCTGAAGGAATTTGAGAGACGGTATGTGCGGGAAGAACTGACCTTCCCCTGAAGCAGGTCATGAACCCTCCAGTGAGAGGTGCCCTCCCTGTGCCAGAGGAAAGGAGCAGCCTTATCTCAGAAGAGGAAGGGACACAGGAATCTGGGCAGACAGGCCTGGCTAGTTTTTCCCCAAGTTACTACACTTCCCTCATACTCTCTGTCCTGTCATATCTTTCCATGACTTTCCAGTCTTCATCAAACCTGGCATAAAACGCTCAGGTTTTAACCATTTCTTTGGGTCATTTCCTTACAAGGCTTATTTGTCACATGAAACTTACATTAAATACATCTGTGTGCTTTTCTCTTGCTAATCTCTTTTGTTACAAGCGTCCCAAAAGAGAACTGGGAAGACACTTTCCCTTTCCGACACTGTGCTCAAATCTCTGGCTCCATCCATTTGTACTGTCATGCTTTCTGCACAGCCCTTGCCCCCAGAAAATTTTCTGAGATTTGCATTTGTGAGTTCAGATGTAATCACATATAAAGGCAATCTTCCCCAATAGAGAGACTATTATAAAGGATGATTTTGCTAACATTTCTGTGTACGATGTCCTTTGCTAAGTTTCCTGATTTTTTTTCCTCAAAATAACTGATGAATGACCAGACTTGACAGGAAATGCTTAAATTGAGTAAGGAAAACTCAAATTTTGACAAAATTTGGTCCAAATCAGTTGGCAATGGGTAGAGGGGGAAGGACATTAAACTGATCTCATCTCTGTTCCATTTCATTTAACTGTCAAGGTATGTCTGAATACATTTATTCTCTATTTGTTGGTATTACTCTCTAATAGTTTTCTGAACCTTAACTCTTCAGTCTACCAGTTCCACTACCTGTTCCAGAGAACTACTTGCACAGGAAGTATTCTAGGAAATGAATAGTATCACAAGGTAGAGTCTACTGGAAGCCAGACTGCTTTGTGCAAGTGCCTATATGATGCCTCTTTCCCCCTGGCCCCTGCTCTGATGCTGCTGTGCATTTCAGGGGAATTTATACCTCAGAGAGGCAGCCCGAGACCTGTGATACAGCACAAACTGAATAGCAGACAGTAGGAATTATCTTGACAGTTTTTGACTACTGATTGCTCTGTCAAAGCCCCTGCACTACCATTACCCAATTGTGTGGCCTTTGAAGACTCCTGTGTTTAGTCCAGTAATTAGAGTCCTTTATTCTCTGGGGTTGCAAGATTAGAAGGAAAGATTAGAGCCCTCAAGTTCTATGCAGTGCTGTGATTCTTAGGTACAGATGTGTATCATGGACAGGTTTTTACATGACCTTCTAAAATAAATTTAGATCTAGGGTTATTTATATTTTTTATTATGTCAATTTTTATCATGTCTTTCAAGAAACTTTCATCTAAGTTGTCAACTTATCGGTGTAAAGTGTGTCCCTTATCCTTGTAATGTCTGTGTTCATTTCTGACATTGGTAATTTGTGTCTTTATCTTGGACAAACTGAAGGTGTATCAGTAATAATAATCACAAAATCAGCTGGTTCTCATTTTTCTCTATTGTGTGTCCATTTTTTTATTCACTGTTTTCATTATTCTTTTATTTATTTGGGTTAAATTTACTAGCTG